TACTTCAATAAACATTATTATTTTTATTATTTTATTATCAGCTCGCCTTACGTCTTTACAGTTGCTCGGGAAGTGATATACTTATTATTGGTCCAGATTTTCAAAAGCGGCTCGTCAATTTCCAAAGATATCAATGTTGATCCAAATTATTCAGTTCAGCTTCAAAAACTTCTGAATGTATGTACTAGTTCGTCAAGATCATTTATTGAATTTCTGATAAGTTTGAGATTTCTATAGAAATTTTTTTATTCACCCTGTATATATACCTAAAGTTATCATAAATGTACAGAGAGCTAAGTCAGTTTGATATGATGATATGCTATTCCTACATTGATTTTGAAATAGAAATGATATTTTTTCAAATTAAAATATCAATTTTGAAATTCTATTGAAATATTTTGAATGAAGTACCAATGACAGATTATGATATATCCGAGGGGTTTTGAGAACTCTTTGATATATTTCGAAATCAAATGAAATAATTCGAACTGCAAATTGATGCATTTCAAAACTGATAATTTTGAAATTTTACTGAGATAGGTACCTACTATTTTTGAATCAAACTGTCCGACAGTATTCACTTGATTCAAGAAAAGATTTTGTATTTCGAGTCTCAGGCATATATAGTGTTCATATAACTCGTTTGATAGTGAAATATATGCTATACGTAAATGGCGAGGTACAGGGTGTTGTGTATCACGTCAATTCTTCTCACTAAATTACTATAACTCAGATTTCTATATCTAAGTATATAGAAAAATGTAGTGTCCCCCTTTCATTTTGTCTACCTACGCCCATGTACACCGCTTGATTTTTTTGCGTATACTCTGTGCGGGGTTTAACCGAGCGCAAAACTCCAAGTTTTCTACTGAGGAGATATGGATTTTGCTCTGAAAAGAGAGTATTTCATATCTGTGTGTGTGTTCGGTATAGTTCGATACATACATATTCAATTTCGAGTGAGATGTCACATGAAAACTTTTAGTTTTGAATTATATCATTTCCTATTATTTTTATTTTGTGAATGGAATGAGTTTTCCGAATGGTATGCAGACTCTGCATCAAATAGTTTTCCATACATTTTCACTGTTTTTTTTTCTGTTCTGGTTCCCACGAAAAAGGATATCCTGTAATGTTCAGAGAACATCGTGAGAACCAAAGAAAATAAGGTAGAAATTGGTGTTCTTCTTGGATTTCTGGAGGTTATATGCCTCCGGGAACACCTCCCTTGGCAATGTGTTCCAGAGCCTCGTTGTTCGTTGGATGAACGAGTCTTTGGAAAGAGATGTTCTGCAGGTCTCCAAAGTGACCACGAAGGGGTGCGAAGCCTCAACTCGACGGGTTAATCTCGCGGGGACTGCCAAGGGAGGAACAATTGTTGATATTTCAGAAGAGCATCGTCCATGAAAATATCTATAAAATAGAGCCAGATCGCCAACTTTTCTACGGTGTTCCGGAGAAGTGAGTGAGTTTGTGAGCGAGGCATCACCCACGAGACGAATTGCCCTTTTTTCTACAGAATCCAACAGTTTCAGGGTATGTTTGGGTGCTGCACTCCAAATATGGGAACAGTATTCCAGGACAGGTCGGATCTGTGCCTTATAGATCATAAACAGCTGACTGGAAGTGAAATAGCTCCTGGCCCGAAACAGAAAACCAAGTTTGTGGGATGCACTTTTAATAATTGAACTTACGTGATTTTCCCAAGAAAGGTTATTGCTGATATAGTAATACCACGTATCGAAATGGGTGTCTTCAAAGGTATGGTTACTCCTGACAAGCTTATGTTTTATTTGCATTAAAATCTACCAAGTTATTGGATCCCCATTCGAGAATTGTGGCCAAGTCCATATTTATGTTGTCAACATTTCCCCCTCGTTCATTTCTGATTTGCCTGGCTGGTATTGGAGCCCTGGAAAGAGAAAGCGGTATGGAGGGTACTATCATCCGCGAAGCTCTGGACATGAAGTTGCTTGGTTGCTTCCAACAAATCGTTGATATGGAGTAGAAATAGTGTTGGTGCTAGAATTGATCCTTGCGGAACACAAGCATTTATGATTTATTTATGAGAGTCAGATGAAACTCCGTCGACCAATACATTGAGAGAGCTGTTTGAGAGAAAACTAGCTAGCAGAGAACATAGCTGGGGAGGCAAGCCATAAGATGGAAGCTTGGCGAGGAGTCCTTGCATGATGGTGCCAGACTCGATCGAATGCCTTGGAGATATCAAGTGCCACGGCTAAGGTGTCACCATATTTTTCAATAGATATAGGTGAGACGTCAGCGAGCAGGTCACCATCAGTTGTTGTGTGTGTGATATTTGATATATACCGCAACCAATAATCTAAGTAGACTGATTTTTGAAAATTGAAATTTGAATATGATTATGGTGGGTGCGCGGGCCTGTTATTTTGTGAGCAGATTGATGATTGAAAGTAGCGATTGGAAAGAAGAATGGGGATATGTTTAATGCCAGGCAATAACAAGAGAAACAATATACAGTGTGACTAAAAATTCGATATAAATATTTTAAGGACATATTGTTCCCAGCCAACACTGAGTAACTATAAAGTACTATGGAAGTAATTTTGCAACTTAAATCCGCGTGCGATGTACGAAAAACATCTCCCGCTCTAATTATTGCTTCGAAATGTCCGCGACATCAAGTACGCATTTAATTATAATTGGGTTGTTCAAATTGAGACTTGCAAAAATGTCCCAAATAAAACATATCCGTATAGTTTTGCGAAACTATTTATCAAACAGAAAGCAAAAGGTAAAAGTAGACAATCAACTGAGCAAGCCATTAGAAATCACAACTGGGGTACCACAGGGAACTGTCCGGGGACCAAACCCAGGTAACACGGAACTCTCCGCGATATCTCTTTACAAGTAGTTATCTTCAGGATCGAAATGCGAAATCCTCCTCCTAGGTGCCAAAGATCACTATAGGCTGTCACCATGTGAGGAATACTCTTTGGAGTCGTTCTAAAGAAATAGGTGATCTCGTCTCAAATTTGGAATATTCCTCATAACTACGAATCCTTGAGGTTATCGCATTTACAAAAAATGAATAGACATTCGTTTCTGCGAGCACCCAAGGATAACCTGGACATAACAAGAACGGGCATTTCCCATTGCGAGCTCCTAAAGTAATCACAAACATAATCTACATAATTAATGAATATTACTACAAAAATATCAAGTTGATTTTTCCATTATTATATTCAGGCAATATCTCGCCTATTTGTCAAGATAATAAAAACATTAAAAAACTGCATTAAATGGCATTGAATAACCTTCCCAATGACTTATGGAAAATGTGATATATTTGGCAGCCCCCTGATGGTAGATACTAATCAGTTTTTATTTTCAAATGGCATATTGTCTTTGAAAATTGCGTAACAATCTATTTGGAATACAACGATATAGCACATATACGGTGTTTTGTTCATTGATAATAACAGAAACATAAACATTCTGTAACTTTTTTACGTTACTTGAATGAAAAATTGCTTGCTAAAGATACGTCTTCATTTTTGGTCCAAAGCTCTTCAATATGATACCTCCTCACATAAAAATTTGTAAGTAGGAAAAGTAAATATAAGTCAAACTTGAAATATTTCATGAATCAGAATCAAAATTTCATTATGAGTATTTTCTGAAGTGAAAAAGAAAAATAGGGTTTTCTAGAATTGCTTAGTTATTGATCTACCATATCACTCTCTACTATTTCGGCAGTATTATAATAGTTAATACTATTATTCATTATAGCCACTAATAGGGAGAGATACATGTCACAAAACAAGCCTTTTACATGCTTAGGTGCTATCTCTTTCCTTCATCTGTGGCATAAACCATTGACAACATTTCGTACAAATATTTGTACGATACTTATAGACTGAATTAACTTGAGTTACTGTGGAAGTTTTTGAGACAAATGCATTTTTAATAATCACATTGGGCACATTCAGGCGATGATTCTCTGAGACTTCTCCATTCTATTACTTTTGATATATATGTGGTGACTTTCTCGAATAGAAATAGACTTCGTCGCGATGTTTCTTGATGACGATATTCAAGTAAAAATTCAACACATTTTGTGGTAATGACATTGTGGATATTTATTATTATGCTGAAATAAGTATCACTGCATCTTAGATTTTTTGTTAACAAAGCGAAGTCTCAAAGTATATAACGCACGTTCCGAACGTAATCAAAATGAAAACATATTTCCATTTGCAATCTGGGACTTCGCGAAACTGCCATGTGATGTAACGGGTTGGGATCAAAATAATACTTTTCCTTTGTACAAACATGTGTCCTGAAATTCACCCCCTCCACAAGCTACAGCCACTGTAAGTTAGGTAAAGAAAAGAGATATACTGAAATTGTGACTAAAATAACGGATCAAATCTTCTGAAAATTGACAGGCCGTTGTCCTCTTAGACACTTTATTTCATTCTTCCTTCAAAAATTATGTAAACCCAGTCACTTTTATTGGCCGTAATGGTGTGCATTTTAGGACCCATGCATGTTTATACAGTGTGACCCACTTCTAATGGAAACACCCCTGTATCTTATGTAATCGTTGGGTAAGAGTTCTGAAATTTGATGGAGCAAGAGATATACCAAAAATGCACTCTATGACCAAGTGTAGTCATCTTGATATACACTGCTCGCCAACAGCCATGGAACCACCACAATTTACAGAAAATGATATTAGGAGTTAAAATAGGTTGAAAATCACTTTGGATTCGAAATCAGGACGCCCAATTCACTTACTATTCATAGTTTTCCTGGGAAATTTTCAAAGAGGTTGTTACTGAAATCCATGACTATCTTCTACATTTAATAAAGAAGAGTAGAAGACACGTACTTTCCAATTCAATTCACAGTTTTGATGGTTATATAGCGATTCATTATTCCATTCACCTCATTTATTTCATCAGATCAGATCAGGAGAAATTGGAAATAAAACACCAAATTCAACTAGTAATGAAACTAAATAATCATTTATTGACAATAGTAAAATACACAATAAAAGTCAATGAAATAGAGAAAAACATATCAAAATACAATTCAAGAATACAATTAATGTAAATTAAAAAATAACAAAAATAATATCACAATGAAGACATTAATTATTATTTAATTGCATATGGGCATGCATTAAGTGATAGGTCAACAAAAATAGGGATTATGAGTACCTATACAGCTGCACCTTATAATCATAAGTGATTATTTTCATTTCATTCAATTAATAGGTAATATCAATATTTTCATACTTGCTACAATAGACAAGAACACTAATTTCTGAAAAAAAAAAAAAAAAAAGATAATATTAGAACAGCCAGTGAACTTAAAATTCTTTCATTCCAAGTACCTAGTTTCTTTAGAATAAACGCGATATATTTTGAAAATAATTCTAGTTAGAAATCTATTTCATCGTATTCTTATGGTACCTCCTTATTCTTTTTCCACAATATATTCCCATTATGTAAGTATTTTTCCAAATGTGGAACTTTTACTGTGACTGATGGACACTCAATAATTCGAAACATGTTCCCCCTCTAATAGTAATCGAACATGGTATCTTTTGTTTCTTTAATCATTTGAGGTCACATATGGACCCCGAATTATATTACTTGTAAGAAATTTTGAACTTCATTCATGCAATAATGTTCTTGTCTATTGGTTTCAGTATCATAGTCTATTGTATGTATATTGCTTCGAAAGAAACTGCAAAATTCGAAAGAGGAACCGTAATCAGTAATTGTAGAAGTTTAATTGATATCATTAAAAATGTATTTGAGCTCAATGCGCGGAAGATATGCATATAATAGCTATCCATAGCTATAAAGTTTAATCAGACGAATATTTCATTGATTTCAAATTTCAATTATTGATGAAGTACAAAATATTGCAAATATTTAAATACCCAATAGAGCTGCCATATTAACCACATTTTTTGTACGACCTGAATATTTTGGATTGTTCATCACATTCTCGTAAGTTATGTAAACTGGTACTAGTTTCCGAGCCGGTGAGTAACTCACTTACTATTCAGCACACAGTAAAGTGAATTCATACATCATTTTGAAGAATACATACAAATACCAAACCTGTATTTGGTATCTGCATGACAGAATTTGGAAAGCTCAACTACCGATATAATATATTGAAGGAGATTGATCTATTAGAATTCTTATTCATATTTTCATCAGTCGTACAAAAAATAGTATGAGAATCACGAACGATAGTGTCCCAATGCTTTCTCAAAATGTCTTTCACTAGGTCTTTAGTATCATAGTTGCCTTAAACTATAACTTAAACTTGTTCTGAGGCTCTTAATTGCGGTACATACAAGAACCTAAAGTTACTGAAATGTTGAAAGAAACATTATTATAGTAGAAACTGACTTTGCTTTAAATTTTTGAAATAGAACATATAGGTACCCAATGAACACAATCTTGCCTGCATCTTGCATACCTATCTGTCAAGTAATATGGCACATTTTTCATCGATTGATAATTCAAAAACACTAGGCGAATAGGTTTACTAAAGCCTCTTTTTGAACGTTGAAATGCTATTGTAGAAAATTTGTCAAAAAATTTATAGGTATTCTTTTGGAATGTCAAGAAAATATGACAGATAATTTCTTCTTCATGAATACAAATAATGCTGAATTCGAGAAACTACAAAAATAACAGATACTGTTGAAGGAAGTAGGAAAAAATAACCCTACATGGGAAAATTCTATCATGCATGAATCCATTTGAAGCTGTTTCCATCGACCCCTAAATCATGGCAAATACAATTGAATGTTGTTAAGTAGATGTATGTTTACTGGGTATAGCATTTTCAGTTTATTTTTTCTGTCGAAGACAGAAAATGTTTTAGTACAGGGTTAAGGGAAAATAAAAAAATATTTTAATACAAAAGTTGGTTGAGAGCTGCAATATCATCAAATAGGAGATGTGGTTATTTCAACATAATGGACGTTGACATTTTTGAAATATGCACCGATTCAAGGACCTGAACTATTTTTTTTTATATTGTACTTCAATTCCAACAGCAGAGAAACAATTATCACTTAAACAAAAATCATAAGCCGAAGTCTTTACTGCAGTTTAATAACGATAATAAGCTTTGAAATAATGCATAGGTATTGAAAGAGTAATTCCAGAGTCTAGCATATAAAAATGGATGACTTTTTTTTCAGGAAACCGGAAAGTTTATGTTGTTTCAATCAACTTTTGTATGGAATATTTTTTAATATCCCTAATCTCAATGACGAAATTAAAGGGGTTTTATTTTAAGAGCCGCACTCAGTACTCGACAAGAAATCAATTGGTACGGACCTCACCTCAAAAGATATTAACAATAATAATTCAGTAATAATCAAAAACCGACCACAGTACCAAAATAAATAGCCCAAATGAATCTGGTAAATATCGCTGCAGTATAAAATATTAGTGGTATATCATATTTCAAAACTTCACGTTATTCTTGAAATATACGAGTATTACTTATTTTAATCTTGATTGAGATCATACTGAGAATGTATCTAGAGAAGAGACATCGAAATCCAGGGATTTACTTCGCGAATGTCTTTAAATGCTTTGAGTTATAGATTCAGTACTCGTTGGTATAATTGATTCCTTACGAAAACTTTTTCCTGGGACATCAAAGATGTTTTCTTAATGAAAAAATCGAATACTCATAGACAGCCACAAACAATCCAATTCTGAAATATGAAATATCAGAGGACATAGAATAGATATGTAGATTATAGTATTGTGCAAAATAAGTAAATAAAAATATTATAAATGTAACAAAATAATAGAAAATACCTATAATATATACGGATATATACACACGTTTCAATGAAATGTTAACATTACTCGTTACTAAGTTGGTTAAATGAAAAATAGGAATAGACAGAAAACTTAGCATAAGAGATTGAATCTTCAATGCAAATGATGTTCACAAGAAATGACAGAAATAGGTTCAAATAAAATATAAAATAAATGAGGTTTTGAAAGAATCGTCTCATTCTTTAAAAACTGATATATGGAGAAGAGAGCATAATCAAAAACAAATTAATGGTTCATAAATAACATTTAATTTATTTTTCTCGATCGATGGATGGGAGATAATCATTAAACTGATATTCTCGACATTCTGATTATTTATTTAACCATATATTGAGGTGTAGATACTAACTTTAGACGATGACTTTCCTCAAAAGACGATTAATGGGTTACCACATATGTTCATGGCGAACATGTACGTTTGGGAATAAGCATGTTATCATCAGTATGGTATATAATAATTTGTTTCTCTAAATGACATCAAGAGTAGCTTTTTGATGACACTTAACAGACAGAAAAAGTGTGTAGCTATGGAATGTTTCAAGTAATAATATGAATCAAATTGATAATCAAAATTGACAATGACTTCTGGAGAAAACAATGTGATGGATTATTCTCATTTTGCCTGAAATTGGACACAATTTGGAGAAAAATGTTTCATTGCTTTGTCTGGTTTCCTAGCCTTGGCTATGAAACGCCAGCCGCAGAATTGAATCTCGTTCTTTTCCCCCTAGTAAAATAATAGCTATTTGTTTTGATAGGTAGGAAATAACAAGATTTAACGCCGCTAGAAACATCCAAGGCATTGCATATTTTTTTTCTGTCATGTGAATCATAATTTTTCTTCCAAAGTCGTTCCAATTTCACGCAAAGTCCAAATTATCCATCATTTTGTGTTCACCCTAAGTCTTTGTCAATTGTCATTACCAATTTGATTCAAATCATAACTCGGAACGTTGTATGGAACACACTTTTTCTGCTTAGGCAGTGAAAGTACACCATTCCTGTATATAAAGTGTCATTAAAAACCCGAATTTGATGTAATTTGGATAAGATAACTATCACAGAACCGTTCCTCCATTATATTTATCCGTCTTCAAGAATAGGTACTTGAAAACGAATAAATATAATGGATCGAACCCTCAAGACAATGTCAAGAGTATCATTTCAATATTTATTTCATCCTTACTGAAAACCGCCCATCAAGATAAATCTTCGCTATAAATTCGGGCACCAAGGAAAATTGCAGAAGCATTTTGTTCGATCATTTTCAAGAACAATGAATCTAAATTTGCTATATGATCCTTATCGATGCGAAAGGATTATACAATATACATACCTTCCTGTGAACCATATTGTTTTATACATCAGAGGACATTAGACATCTCGTGTTCAAAATAAATATAAATTCTGACATTTCTTTTCCACATATACATTAGGCACATATTTTACACACATTTGCACACTATGTAAATTGTAAATGATTATATGATTCACTATTCACTTCTTGAAGGCATATGGTCAAAGAAGAAAGTTTCGAAGTCAGATAAATGATTTTCAGGAGTGAAACCTTCACACATTTTATGAAATCGAAATATTGTTCTGTTATCAAAACAACACCCTGTATTATCGAATGTTCAAACGTCGCTTTCAAATTTAAAAAGAACAGAAAACATATGATCACACAGTTTCCTTCTAATTTTACTTTCAACATTGTAATGCTCATCATAGGAAATATCCTTTATGCTTTCCGAAACTACCACACTAAATATATTTATTCGCCATATTCCTCAAAATATAGGCATTCAAAACTAGAAGCTTGATCTATTGATAAAAATATTGATGTACTGCCCATAACAGTTGAATGTCTTAGTTAGCGAAATTGCGAAACACCCAGTTTTGCCATCATTGAAAAATCAAACTCTGTTCGTTTTGAATGCCTACATTTTGAGAAATAAAAATTCATAGACTTTTACCTCCACCCTATATATCCCCCGAAAAACCAAAAATATATCAGTTGACTCTAAATGGAAACCAAAGTAAGGCTGTTTGAGATTTGTTTCCAGTGTCAAAAATAAGACTAAAGAGCATAGTTTATAACGTGTCACTCAGGTTACTCGTTTAGATGGAATTTCCTAAATACTGATATTTCCTTATTAGTGGATTACTTTAACCTTTTAATACAGGGTATCCGAAATTTGAGCCTCACCATAGTTCGCAAATTACGGATACGGAAATACGGATCAGGATTTATCATTTAATTTTTTTTACCGTCGCACACCCCCCGAAAGCTTCGACTTATCACGTATATGGACCTTCAAAAATTTGGATGTCAAAAATCTGTTTAATTGTTCCTTCATTGAAATTATGAATTCTGCTATTAAAATAATGTGAATTTTCCTAATTTCATCATTACATAAAATTATTATGTATTATAGAAATAACTTTAACTGTATTGTGGTGTGTTCTACGAGTTCCCCATATCTTTCCTAAAGTAATTCACTTATGTCAGAAGCTGACGTTACAGTGTTGTTGTGCTGTGTTTGTTACCAATTTAGGACTTTTTGTTTTAAAACTATATAAAAACGATTATTCACAATCTACTATGGCTCGCCAGTGCGTGGATCGTAAAGACCACCATTCAAACCCCACGTTGGTATTTCGACGGTAAGTTAAGTTATAGTTCTTTCAACTTGAAGAGTGGTGTAGTTATGACAGGTTATATAACTAAATTATTGCGAGAAAAACGTTGTTTCTTTCTTTTGAGTTCACATTAATGATGGATCAGAATATAGTAAGTACTTGAGGTACTAGGAATATTTGGTGTTAAAATTAAAAGGTTAGATCCAAACATTTTCTGATGGGTATAACAGCGTTGTCATTGTAGTAAACATGATTTGCTCTTCGCTTAACCCACGCGACTGCTAAAGGAAAGTGTGAATATTGACGCACAGTTTGCAGCCATTTTTTCAAGCCTTCTCCTTTTTAACTCATTTGGAACTTTGGAGCTATGTATGATTGTAAATAAAAATGTTTTATGAATGAAATGTTACATGTAGAGTCCAACCAATCCCCTAGAGTCCAACCAATCCCCAAAAAAGGGAACAAGAACCTGCCCAACAACTACAGGCCCATTGCCCTGTTATCAGTAATCTCCAAAGTGATGGAGAAAGCCATCAATATTGAGCTTATCAAATATCTGGAGAGCTCAGGAATCATCAATGATAGACAATACGGCTTTCGCCACCGAAGATCTACTGGAGATCTACTTGCCTACGTCACCCATTTATGGCAATCTTCAATAGAAAAACACGGGGAATCTCTAGCTGTCGCGTTGGACATTTCGAAAGCATTCGACCGTGTTTGGCACGAAGGACTCCTCCACAAACTTCCATCATACGGCTTACCACCTCAGCTATGCCATCTCTTATCGAGTTTTCTTTCAGGCAGATCGCTTCACGTGGTGGTGGACGGTGTATCGTCTGATACCTTTGGCATCAGTTCCGGCGTTCCACAAGGATCAATTTTGGCACCAACATTATTCCTGCTTCATATCAATGATCTGTTGGGAGTAACAACTTGCCCCATCCACAGCTTTGCAGATGATAGTACCCTCCATACTGCGTTCTCTTCCAGAATTCCCATTTCTTCCCAGGAAACTAAGAACTCACGACGCAGGCAGGTCAATGCTGTCAATGAAGATCTTGCTGAAATCACAGTCTGGGGAACAAACAACCTAGTTGAATTCAACGCCACCAAAACTCAAGCCTGCATTTTCTCTAGAAAGGCAGAACTCAGTATGCCCGATATTGTAATGTCTGGCTCCACCATCCCCACCAAGCCCACCATATCTATGCTCGGTATTTCCATCAGCAACAATCTTTCATGGGATAATCATGTCAGATCCATCGCAAAAGCTGCTTCACAAAAACTCGGATTCTTGTTCCGTGCGAAAAGCTACTTTACACCTCAACAGCTTCTCATGATCTACAAAGCGCAGATACGGCCTGTTCTAGAATACTGTTCCCACATATGGGGTTCAGCACCAAAACATACACTGATGCTCTTAGATTCCATCCAGAGAAGAGCCATTCGCCTGGTGGGTGACGCCACACTCACTCACTCTTTGACATCATTGGAACATCGTAGAAAGGTCGGCGACCTTTCACTTTTCTATCGATACTTCCACGGGAAATGTTCTTCGGAAATCTCTGCTATCATCCCTTCACTAGCAATACCAATCAGACGAACTAGACAAGCCCAGTCAGCACATCCTTTCGTTGTCAACCTCGAAAGATGTCGAACAGCACTTTATCAAGACTCCTTCATCCATAGAACGGCTAGGCTCTGGAATTCATTGCCTGTGGAAGTATTCCCAACAACATATAATCTCCAAAAGTTCAAAAAAAATTCCAATACTTACCTCCTGTCCCTATCCTCCCAAGGAACGCACGATGTTCTTTGAACATTATAGGGATTCCCTTTCGTGCGCTCCAAGCGATAAAAAAAAAAAAAAAAAAAAAACATGTCCATGGGGCCATCTTAGTAGGATGAAACTTCAAACAATGCTTTAAGATTTTCAAAACTGCTGTACATTTTCGTACAGTCTGCACATAAGATTGATTCCATATCTCCAAGTAAGTGTGAGACACATGGAGATCAAACTATAAATGAGGACACCATTTTTAGTAATTTTCCCGGAGGCGATAAAAACTGTTGATTTTGAAAAATATGTATAATGCCGATTTTCTATAAACATCATGTTCTAGTTTAGTTGAGAATATATAATGTTATCAAATATGAATTTTTCGAAAGAATGTTTCAATCGGAAAAACTTTGACAAAATCTTGAGGAGCTGCCCCCTTTTTGCACCGGCGGGGATTATCTGAGATATTTTAATATGAATAATGCACTATTGCATGAGAAAACTATATTATATGAATCGTATTCATTCAGTAAAAGGGTTACAAAATCATTTATAGTAATACATGGAGATAATTAGGATGCTTGAGAGGATATGACGCAGAGTAGATAGACGTATCTCAAGACTAGGAAGTCAGATTTATGCTCCAAGTTCATGAAGAGTATAGGGGTATATTGTAATAGGCACTGGCGGAGCTGCTGCATTCGACACCGTTCCAAGTGTATTTCTATTCTATAACTTGCTAGGAGATTACAAATTCTTGTTTCTGTTTGTTCACCTCGCTCAGATTCTTAGAAACATTTACTGTAATGGCCATTGAAATTTCGTATGATCGACATGTAGGTAAGCCATTCTTGAGGAAAGACCATCGTTCCTCGCTTTCTCATCTCCTTTTCTATCAAGCCAGCTATGTATTATTTTGAAGGATTTCAATACCGGTAATGGTATTGCGATGGTATATTATGCCAATGCTGCATCGAAACGGCCGACACAACTAATTTGATGCAAAAACGAGGTAGCTCCGCAGCAGCCTCTTTCTTGCACCGACTCGATGAAGGAGATCTAAATATATCCCGTATAACATCAAAACGAATCAAAGAACTTGTCTCGTTCTTGCACCAATCGATAGAACACCTTTTTGTCACTGGCTCTCATTATAAAAGTGAAAATCGTGTATAAGTGGAGCTGTCTCATGTTTGCACCAGTGCCTTCAAAAATGTATTATACATAATTTCAACACAAATTGAGGATATTGACTATTTACCAACCGATAATAATAATTATTATTATTGTTTCGAAGAAACGTTTGTCCTGCGCTGCACGCTCCTCCCGCGCTGAAACGTCTCCATCACCACGCATCAATATTTGATGTCTCCTGTCTCTAGACCCTAGTCAAATTTGAACCCAACCCTGTAACTCTTACGGTTCATGACATCCCAATAATATAGGGTGCGACACTTTCCAATCCATATCGGAATAGTTTGTAAACCAATAACACTTTTCGAGAAGTTCCTGTTTGACCATACCCCTAAAATAGTGGCCCTAAGTATCCAATCTTTTGGCAGTAAAAATATGCAATATGCATAACGATTTAGCCTGTATATTGTTTACGGTACGCTTATACTAACGATGTCAAGAATCTCCTGCTCATTTGTCGGTTGGGGGTGGGGGAATGGCGGGGATGAGGGCGGAAACCAGTATTACGTCACATGGCCGCCCTAAGTGGCGTAGTGATCGAACGAGCCGAGGTACTCCAGAGCTGCTCGATAACAAAACTGGTACTGATCCTGGAACAGAAGTAGTAAAATTAGTTACTTCGAAGTTGGGAACCAACTCCCCAGAAGTCGAAACTTGTGCGTGGTTAGGAAGAGCGGGACCTACAGCTTATAGTGGAATCCGAAACACTTTGGAGTTTGGTTGAGTGAATTTCCATTCGGGAAGTTTCTGAAACGTGAATTTTTCGAACCCTATGAATATGAATTTGCCACAGAATCTACCAAACCCCACTTTGCGAATGGTAGCTGAAATGGATATGAAGTTTATTTTATTCTCATTCAGAAGTCATTTATGGAATGATCAATACAAGGTGTTTCACGTTGAATGGAACATTAGACGTAACTGGAGAATCGAACGACAGATCATTTCGAAAATTTGTGGACAAGGATAATCATGCATGCTCTATCAGTCTGAAATACTTACGACAATGTGGTGTTGCCACTTCTATTGAAAAGTAGTAGCAACTTTGTTATTTCGAATGCATCACCCTGTATTCCATTGCATTTTTAGATTCTCCCTGAAGGGAAGATTTCATCGACATATGACAATGAGGTCTAGCAAGAACGATTACAGAGATACATGGTGTTCAAAATCGAGATTTTTCAACTTTACGTTTCTTTTATGTTGAAACTATTCATTATCGGTCGAAACGGCTCATATATACCTATCTCCACTCTTGATATACTATCTACTGACATCAAATTGGTACGACTACAGGGTGGTTCAAGAATCATAATTCTGATCACCCTGTTTCTGTTACAATTAAAGCTGTTCCACACCGTCTCATGAGAACTGAATTCCGCCAGATGGCGATTGCATAGACAATATGAATAATCACATTTTGAAGTGTTGAGCTCCTCCCACCTTCCTACAATCGGCAACAGAGGTACAACTGACCCCCCGAACAGGTGATGTCAGGTATAGAAACTGATTTGCATAATCAGAGCGATAATTTCTAAAATTATTATTTATTCTAGTCTGCAAAATCAGATACTTTGGCTAAGCCTGAGAACTTTTATATTATCGATGCAGGTATACAGGGTTTTTTTCAGAAAATATAGTCTCATGCATTTCATATTATTTTTATTCAATCAATAAAAATGTTATAATATGGGTATTAGTAAGTAATTATTATGTATTTACATTCTGGAATTTTCATTCCGTTTCTCGTTGAGTAATTTACATTCCTCTTGGTACCCTGACATCAATGATCTCTGGAAAAATACATTCTCTGCAAAATTTTGTCAATTTTGGAGTCATTTCATTCGATATATTCTCATTTCTGTAAATCCTCTCTACATTGAAATCATTTTCGCAGTAGATTATGAAATCACAAAAATCCCTTTTGGTGATGTTCAGTTGGCCGTGGATTTGGTAATAATAATTGTGTGTTTCCTTCAATCTAAGAAAAAAAGAGGGAATAATAAATATTTTCCTAATACGAAAATCAACGTTTTTTCTGAGTTCAACGATTCATCACAAGTAGATATTATATTTTTATACGAAAAATAACAAACCTTATGCAATTATTATCAGCAAGAGTAAAACAGTTGGTAGATTTTTTGGACTCAGCCAATTTTCCTTCTATAAAAGGTAGGCACTTTACTTCGATGATGCTGCCATCATCTCCTACCAAACCATCAGGAGATGCACCTAAAAATGGAAATGTAGCATCAACAAAAAGTCCACATGCAGTTACTTCCACATTCTTCGTTTCTTCATATTTGCTGACTGCTTATTGTTCATTTATCTCCCATAAATGATCGCTATCGACTGCAAATCTTTTTTTTTGTAGAGTAGCTGTTTCACTAAATTATGGCAAGGTGTAGTTGGTCTTCTCTTCACAACTTTACCAAAATTTGATGCGGTCAAGTAATCCATCCGCAACTCTCTCCATAAATTATTATCGTGAAAACCTGAAATCCATAGCCAATCACCCTGTACATAGTTAGTGAGCCGGAATAATAATAATAATAATAATAATACCTCTGCATATTGCTTAATAAATATATTGTAAAACTTGCCTTCTTTCGTTGAGTTGTTTCAACTTAGATCTGTTAGATCTCTTAAGAATACTCTTGATGGTAGAATTTTCTTACCATTCGCCATGATTAAGCAATTACGGAACTAATGAAACAATAAACAATACACACAGCACAAGTTGTCAACAAAGACTAAATAATTTGTGTCAAGGGGTAGTAATCAGAGTAGGTCATAAGTAAAGTGGCCGGTCATGGGTCATTCTGATTGGAGCGAGGGTGTGGCCTAGCGAGGGGCGGAGATCCTAAGCGTAAATCGATTACAGGTCAAATATCAATTCAAAATGCATAATGCAAAAAAATAATCATTTTGACCCATCGACAAACCGATAGGAATATGTTAGCATTGTCTTATGTGGATAAATGCGAACAAAATTAAAAAAAAATAAAACAAATTCTTCATTTTCAAAAGCCATTCTACAAGAAACTGAAGGAAAAATTCGAAATATTATTTCCACGATCGATAGTATTCATCAACATCAACAGATATTCAAAAATTCAAATAATTCTATCGATTCATTTTCATTCTGTGTTCGAATTTGAAATGCATTATTTGGTATACGCGTTGTAAAGGTAGGGAACGACGTTAAATGTCAGTAGATAGTAAATCAAAAGTTTGTATATCGACATATGACCCGTTTCAACCAATAACGTATAGTTTTGACACAATAAAATCCTAAGAAGGATAGAGCATGCTTGTATATCCACGTCCAAAAATGTTCGAAATGATCTATCGTTCGTGTAAAACACCATGTATTCAACTAAACTGATGACGTTGTGGTCCAAAATATGTGCCGAATTCAAAATCATATTACTCGTGGATCCCATAACTGACGCCTATTCGGTTTTCATAGTTGGCTAGTCCAATCTTTCAGTTACTAGTAAGAGCAATATAAGCATACAAAAATTTAAGATGAAAATTCAACAGGAAGACAACTGAAGAAGTGTACTATTGAAGAGGTGTAGTCATGTTCCCCTTAGAGCAAATATTTATAATTTATTTTTCCACCATGATTATGAAGCTCGATGTATTCTGATGGATCGATTTTGAACTTCTTTGAAACAGAGCTTTTATGTGGGAGATATACGTTTTTCTTCAAAACGAGGCATTTTATTAAGGAATACTTGAATAACATTGAATGATGAGCATGTTTTTCGAATAATCATAAAATATATTCTCTAAAACAGGAACATAACGACACCACTGCAATTTTAGACTAGGTACTTCAATTATTATTTCATAGAACGTTTTTCTGGAATTCTTGTATTCTCCTATTGCTCTGAGAAACTCAAAGATTGGGCAAGCCAACTGTGAGAATCAGATAGAAATTATTTTTGGCATCCATAAGTAATTCAATTTTGAATTGGGACTATGATTTAGACCACGACGTTCATTTTGTTGATCAGTTTAGATTTATTTAGTGTGTTTTTGATTCGAAACACAAAATTCAATTAAAAAACGGGATTGTGCTCTTAATGCTCAAGATTTTTGAACCTCATCACTAGTCTGAAGTTTAGAGGGATACTATGCTATTTTCAATTTTGAAGATTTATGAAAAGCATTGGATGAAGGAACTGAATTATTAATGTTGATATAATCATGCAATAGAAATATGCCGTTTTATTGTCGTAATCTCTGATGATGACAGTGAATTGTGAATTCAAACTTTTCACCTTTTTAACCTTCAAGCCGTTACTCTAAACGTCCATCAAGAAATCTTCAGAAAAAAATGTATCTGAAGTGGGTGATGGGCAAATATTTTTAGAAGTCTGCAGAGAAGATAGTTGTTTGTCTATGAAAAATAATGTCAGTTGGCGTTACTAAAGCGTGAGGTGTCTGTCAAAGTCATGCACTGCAATTTTGTCAAATAGCTCTGAAGCCTAAGGCCTGATTTTTCGAATTTGTTCTGAAAAGTAGCCTTTTCGAAGAGAATAGCTAAAGTTTTGGTTAGACTTCAGATATTTCAACCAGTTCAACCCATTTATGAGATTGTCCATTTCCACAATATGAAAACAATCCAAAATAATACACAATTCAATTGGCCCAATTATAGTTGTTAACCTTACCTCTGTTTGTACCATAGCTGGTCGCTGAGTACGGAGGATTCTACAAGTCTGGAATACATCTACCACTCCTTCATATTGCATTCTTTCCAGTACAATGCTCAACGTAATAAACACACCGGTCCTACCGACACCAGCACTGAAAATTAAAAATAAAATATCAATCAATCTGGAAAAACATTATCGATGCCAGATGTCAAAGAATATACATCTGGAAATTACATAAAATTTCTACAGATATTAAAACAATGTTTCTTTTCAGAGTTATCATGTGTTAAGTTTGTGTAAAAATTTTAGTTTTTTATGAATAGCTCAAGAACGCTTCAGGTGATTTCAATGAATTTTGTGAGGTTCGTTTAAATGGACCCATTAAATTTGATCTAAGATTTCGAGATTCAGAAGCGAGTCTGTTTTATTTTGTTGTAATAAAAATATTGCCCTACAGTTTTTGCGGTAGTTGTTAATTATCCAGGTCAAACCACTAAAAATATGAGAACGCAAAAAACTCCGAAACCCCCTTTGAATTCTGAAAATCCCACAGTCTATTGTGATAGTGATAGCAACTTTGAATTATATTCTTTATGCATTTGAATTTCAGATTATCTCCATTTTTTTATCGTAAACGGGTTCTATCCCTCGAATATAATGCAATTTTTCAGGAAGATAATACCCGGTCGTCAACGGAGTGAAAACCACGTGACAGATCACTATACAACCATACAGTCATCTCTGTATGATGGGTGGAAAAGAGCGTTACCACCGATACAACAAGGCCAGCAGACTCTGACGTAAACAGCTCGTGACGTCGCCAAGTGAGGCCAGTGTTTCATTTTATCGCTTGTCGACTAACGCGTCAGTTCGTGTTAATTCATCGGTGATTCACGTATGTTTTTGAAACGGTCCCGAATTCTTTTGTTGTTTATTCATCAAAATAATTGGCGGAAAAATTACTGTTTTGTGAAATATTTTGTGTTGTGATCGGCGAAATAACAATGCCTTTCAAGTGTTGTGTTCCCTTTTGTCGGGGGAATTATGTGGGTGGTTCAAAAGTTCATGCTTTTAGTTTCCGGTTGGACGAGGAGCTATCGAAAATGTGGGTAAGTATATGCAATTCACCGCGAGGATTTTACTCCATCTGAGTATCTAAGTTCAGTATTAAACAGAGCTTAATTTATAATGATGAATTAATAATAGAAGACAATTACTCTCTCATAAAAAGTATAAGTAGAGGAAAAATAGAAAAGCTTTGACTGTGCAGTTAGTTTTGTATTCGTATATTAAAGTCAACAAAATCATCTCTGAATTCGAGGAAATTTTCTTGAATGTTCATAATAAACGGGCATTTTCTCATTCTCAAATTTCTTTCTGAAAACGGTCATTTGCCTCGTGGCAATGCATGCAGAATTCATTCCAATGATCAAATTGCAACTATCATATTAACATGAACTACAAACACTCTACTTAGAAAGGTAAAACTGCATTTATCATGATATTTATCATGAAGATATTTGACTAAAAAGTTCCAAATTTCACCTTATTTTTCACCTGTCTTCTGGATGGCATTTAGAACAAATTTCCCTTCTTTTTTCATCATATTGGACAGTTTATATATAATTCAACTATAAATATGATTTTCTTGTGATTAATCCATATTTAGTGAAAAGAAGGAAGAATATCATTCAAAATAATGGCGTGTGTAATGTCATTCGAAAGCAATCTATTGACATTTGACATCTCGTATTTTGATTGACTATTGATTAAATGATCGTCACCTGGAATGCTTGTTCACTAAATATGAAAAACTCGCCATAAAAATCATATTTCCTGTTGAATTTTCTATATAAAAATGTGCCATCGAAGTACATCATGAGTATATAAAGTGTCCAATGACAAAATAAGAGCAAGTAGCTTCAAATGCCCCCAACACAAGGGGAGAAAGAAGGCGAAATTTCGAACTTTTTCTTGAAATATCTCAATAAATAGTGGTTTGTTCACATTTTTATTATAAAATTCGGTTTATCAGACAAAAATACGTGAGTACCGAAAAAAATTTCCCAAAAATAAAACCATCGCATGATAAATGCAGTTTTACCCTTAAAAATTACGGTTTCAAGTGTAACGATCCACTTGGGTGAAAAATCCAACAACAGAAAATTGAAAACACTCACTGGTTATTTTTTCAGGTAATAGGAATTCTCCAAGATTAATATAGGTAATTGTAACAAACGGCATGTCAATCAAAATAAAATACATTTTCCACAATTTTCTTTCGATCAATCTCACGATAAGTTTATGTTTAATCCGAATGGGTTGCTGTAGGTGGATATTTGTGTTTTATCCTGGTTTTTGCTTTAAAACTTCGTTTTTCCATAATAAAATCGAATGGGGTGCGAAGAAGGGCTCAGTTGACGACTGGCATCCTTTTTTAACCGGACGCCCTTCAAAAAACAGCAAAATCGGCTCAATGATGATCTAAAACTAAAATCGAAATACGCGGTCGCCTTATATATACCGATTTTGCTATAAGCGCTTGTCGTTTCGAGCCGCTGGTTAGGCCTGACTAAGTGACGTCACCCAGGGAGCATGCAGGTCTTGTTGTATCGATGGTAACGAAAAGAGTCGCTGCATTAAAAACTGTCACGTGGCATTTAATCATTGTTGAAGACCGTTACTTAGTCAAGATATTGTGGAATTGTTATCTGTTAGAAAGCAAAAATGATTCAAATAATGAAGTATGACATTTGAAAATGGAGAAGAAAGCGTCTTCCAGTAGAATTTTGTTTCCGTTTTGAAGGTTATTAGGAAAAATCGTTGAAATTTATTTTGAGAAATTAGACTAACCTGCAATGTACTGTGATTGGTCCATCTTGTCCGAATTGCTCCTTGGTCTTGTGGACTTGACCAATGAAGTCGATGAACCCTTCACCTGATTTCGGAACTCCCTGTTCTGGCCAGTCGGTGAATTGGAACTGTCTGATTGTCCTGGATGAACCATCTCGTGCATCAGTCACCTAAAAGTAAAAAAAAAATATAATAAGATATCTAGGAAGGTGATTTTTTCTACTGGAAATTCTTAATATTTGTATGCACAAGCTTCTGGTAGATTTTTTTTATTCCACTTCAGTTTTTTTTTTAGAAGCGACATGAACTTTTAATTTTCAAATGAAATTCTATGTATTACTGTATATTTTTACATTTCTGAAACCTACTAGTTTTCAGAATGCAGTTTCAATTATCAGAACGATCATCAGTAGAGTGATTTGGCACTATTGTTGCATTCTTTTGATCTGTTGAAATCATTGGAGGAGGGGGGTACATGGCTCTCTAGCTCAAAAAATAAAATGATCGTTCCAACAATCAAAGACAATCGAAATATCACTAGATTCAGACTATTAGGTAGAATTTCTCATCGCCTAAAAAATTGATGTCAAAGAGTGCCTCCTAGTAAGCACATGAAACGGCCTGTCTCTTTCAATACATAATTGAATCTAACATCGTGAAAGGTGTGAAAATATGATTGGTTTTTTTCATATAATTCACTTGAGTTATTTGAACATTCAGAGATATGATTCCATTTGCAAAATTGATTAGAGAATAAAGGGTGGAATACTATATGACGTTATAGCTAATTATCATTTCCAACAAGATGTAGGTCTGTTTTCATTTAAACCGGTTGAATATGATGATGAGAGATAACTTCAATCACGAAAAACTGAAGACTATTTGCCTACCTTGAATTCACGAAGAATATATTGTGGCATATTGTATTCGGCTATAGGATCAACAACAAAGCACTGGTAACGCACCGAGCGTTCACTGGGCCAATACTGGTGACATTTTTCCTAGAAACAGAAAGAGAAAACGTAGTTTAGTTCAAGGAGAATATAAAGAACAACAATATAAATGATGAACTCAATTAAGATATCACTAAAAAATTTATTAAGTGATGATTTTATGGAACAAATTAGCAGCAAGCCAATTTCACGAACATTATCTGATAACTTTATGATTTCCCAGTATTGAGTGGTAGGTAACGCGACTCAGGTTGACCTAAGATGACTTCACTTCATTCTCGGAGACCGTGTTATTGGCTTAAAGAATATCCGGCAACTATTGCCTTCAAGTTCAATGATTTATTCGTCAAGGCTTCTATCGAATTGGTTAAACAGATACCTCCAAGTGATAATGGGATATTTGATAATGAAAAGGATTTCAACCCTTACACAATGTTTTTGAACCCATTTACGGAACATGAATTACTCTAATTGTTAAAAAACAAACTGAAGAATAAAAAATCGTCTGGTCTAGATGACATACCGATGTTTATATTGAAAAGAGTTATTCCTTTGATAATATTACCATTAACACATCTGGTAAATACGTCATTTATGAGAGGTAATTTTCCACACAAGTTAAAAACTGGTGAAGTCACTCCTATTTTTAAAAAGACACAACCCTTGTGGGAAATTATCATCCTGTAGCAGTCCCTTGTGGACTCTCGAAAGCTTTCGAATATGCCTTTTTGGAACGTCTTAATTCGTTTCTTGATAAACATTCTGTCTTGAGTAATAGGCAGCAAGGATTTTGTTCTGGAATATCTACGAACACAACTATGTTCTCATTACTGAACAAAACCATAGAATACGTGGATTCAGGTGAATGTCCAGCGGTAATTCTTTGTGATCTTAGTCGAACTTTCGACTGTGTCAACCATCAAAAACTGAGGTCGAAATTAGAGATGTATGGAATAAGAGGCGTATGTCTTAGTTGGTTCTCGTCATTACTTCACAATGGAAAGCAATTTGTTTCCTTACAAGTACATTGATGACTGGCGATGGGCAAGGGGTTGGGTGTTTTGGCTGGTTCAATATTCGGAATTCTGATCACCCTATATCTGTTCCGATTGAATATCAGTAAATAGTAAATGAAAAGTTGAGATAGGGAAATGTGAGCCGTTTTGGCCGATAATGAATAGTTTCGGCACAAACGAATCCTGAAGTTGAAAAATCTCGATTTTGAACACCCTTCAATTAAAAAAAATGGCTGCTCCAAGATGGCGTGCAAGATGTGGTCCGATTCCATTCAAAATTGGTAAGTGGGGGTTTTTGAGGTCGGAGATCATGATTTTTTTTGTTAAAATTTATAAATTCAAGATGGCGGCTTCCAAATAATTTTTTTGTTTTTGTATAAATGACGATAAGTCCATTGTTATCAACACAAAACTATTACTGCGACATATCATCTGTAAGAGAGAAAAAAGTTATTTGTAACAAAGTCATAGTGAGCTATGACCTACATTTGAAAAACTAAAGTTGGTGCTGATATCTCATATTCTAGAAGAGTTGGTATAAATTTCATATTTTTTTCGAAATCACTTTGAAAAACTGCCATGAGAATGTGAAATTCCTATTTGAATATTTTCATAAATAAAGAAGTTACGGAGGAGACATGAAAATGATCAAAATCTGTTTTTTGCGCATAAAACAAAAACGAATAGATTTTATCAAAATATTTTTTCACATTATAGTTGGCCTTGACAAACTCCACATTTGGTGTCATTTAACCGACCTCGTATCTCTCACCGTTAAAAAGATACCCATGGTGAGCATGGTGAGTGGGACACACTGTAGAAGCATTCATATTTTCATGTATTTCTCCTTACTGATTCTCGATATAGAGATAGTGTAACATATACCCTGTATGTTTCGTACCGTTTTTTGTATTTTTTCCGATCGAGAAATACTCTCTTCTGATTTTCGTGCTTTCTTCTGATTTTCGTGCTTCCTGTTCAAAACTGTATTTTTTAAGAATCTACCATCTTGAATTACTGTGATACAGAACGTAATCTCGATTTTGGCAAAATCTTCATCTATGGTCAGGTCATAACTTTCGAACCACTGTGTATAATCGATTCATACTTGGTAGGTATATTCAACTAATGTCACTCATCAAAACTAAATAGGAATCGAATTTAGAATCCAGATCCGTCTTCAGGCAAAACAAAAACTTCTTTTGTTTCAACAGTGCGCATCCAGTTTGAACAATAGAATTTTTATTGAACTTGAATTACAGCCGAATTAGGTCTTCTTTCTCAATAACAACACTGTCTATATTAGAATTTTGTAGATATGTTCTGATATCTGCAAGGAGCAGGAAAAATCAATGAATTGGTCTACTATTCAACAGTGCGCATCCAATTTTGAGAATAAAATTTTTATTGAACTCGTAATTCAAAATCCAATTTTATTTCAAGAAACTAACCAGTCCTCAAATTTCAACTCAATTAGAGCTGAATTAGGTGAACTATCGATGGAATTTGTTCCGTAGAATAATTTGTCAGTTATTTAGTTATTTTCGTGTGCTCATTACATTTTTACACAAACAAATGTCAAATTTGATGCGCGCTTATAAAAAGTAGGCCACATTGTTCATTATTTTCCTCTTCTCTCAAGTTAACAAAACATATCTAGATATTTTGGGAAAGATTATATTTTCAGCCTAGGTTACTTTTTTTTAAATCATTAGACTTTAAAAAATAATACTGTCAGTATATTCGTGTTCAATACTTCATCTTATATTTTGTATACTATATATCTCTTTTCCCCCCGTACAATTCCATTATCATCATTAGTCATAGATAAATCATTTGTTCGGAAATTAATCGGTTATCAGCATGATTCCGCTCATTAGTCATGCATTCGGGACCAGGTGGTAAATCAAGACAGTTTTATATTAGATGTCATCACGAACGGTCGAATTTTGTGATCGACAGCGAAAGGAATTATTTATCGTTCCAAACGGAGTGTTCCCTAAAAAATGAGTGATAGTAACAAACAATGGAATTGGAGAAATCATTTTTTACCTTTTTCACGCTGGTGTTTTTTTTTCAATTTTTTAATTATGAGTGATAGTATAATCTGATAAGTATTTTGAGCCGATACCACTTGATACATCTAGAAATCTTAGAGTAGGTACTCCTTTGATTCATTTTCATATACATATACGATTTTTTTGTGAGAAATGTATGCCATTAGAATAAACCCGAAAAAAAAATTGTCAATCTGTATCGCTGACTGTGCTAGGCTAGGTACCGAAACAATTTTCACAGAGAAAATTTCGAAGTCGTCAAAATTTCTTTGAAATGGTGACACACGAATTGTCAAACTCTTATTATTATCCATATACTCAAATTGGAAATTTGTCTCGAAATACCCTGTACTAATTGTATAATTCCCTATGGTATATTATATTTATATACAGCCCGCATTCCTGGATAAGGTGATTAGTCATAAAATTTTAACCCCCTGTTAAAATATGAATCACTTTTTTTCTGCTTTGAACAATTTGAATTTCATGAGGTTCTTCACATAAACTCGCTACAGGGTGTCACCTGAAACTGTGAAAAATTTTAGAATTTTCAAAATGAACGAAAATTTTTTTTTTCAACTTTGTCAGCAGATTACCTTGAGACATTTTTCGAATTGTCTTATTATCCCTTTTACTTACAGAGTGATATCGAAAAATTAAATTTTAGGTTTTGCATTCATAACTTTTTTCCTTCCCAACCGATTTTTAAAATCTCAGGCTCATTTTGAAGATGAAACTTTAGATGAAGTAATATGAAGATCAGAATTGACTCAAGATGAACATTGCACAGTGTGTTTCACTTGCAATGGAAGCATCCCTGTATCTTTCGTATTTGTTTAGTTAGGATTCTGAAATTAGCAGGAACGGTAGATATATACTGAAAGTACACACTATGACCGAGTGCAGTCATCTTCAGTGATATACACTGCTTGCTAACAGCCATGGAACCATCCACAAAAATAAAATGGGCGAGTTGACTAATTTTTTTTATTTCTCAAATAGAATCATCACTCAAATAACTTTCAATTTCATATATTTTCAGAATTCTTCATTCGATTTTAAGGTGCTGAGATCAACAATATAATGCCACGGTAATTTTCAAACGGCTGAAAATGTACCGCGAGTAAAAACTGACGTCACGATTTCGTTACTAGGGACAGACCATAGCACAGTTGCCATATGTTGAAATACGATTGGAACTTAGGATATATGAGTTATTCAATAATTCATGAATTCTCAATTTTGTATTGGTTATATTCCTTATTAGACATAAAAATCAATTGTCTCGAAATATTCCCTCATCTGTTTTGGCTTATTGTTTATAATACATTTGTGTTAATATTAATATTATTATATCAATTCACACTAGAGGATATTTGAGGGTAAACGTGACAAGCCGGCGCACGAATTGTGGGCGGTGCCTTGTCAGTTCTCAGCATTCAGCACATTGTCGCCAAGTCTTCGACAAGAGATATACAGACATATACAGACATGCTGGTTGCTCGAAAAAGTCAAGAATGACATATAATATAAAGACTTACTTATGTTTTATCTCGTGTTTTATCCAAAGACAGGACTTTAATCTTTATGATAAATTTATTATAATTGGTGACTTGACAACGTTGCTTCATGAGTGGAAATGGATGATTATTTTTGCAGTATTGCAGTATCATTGCAAAAACTGTTATCTGCCTGCTTTGTCTTCATTGAGTTGATGAATTGATGAATTACAAAAACATATCGCGTTCCAGTTACCAATGTTGGAAATATTATTCAGGGATATTTCAGATTCAACATCCATTTTCTGCCTCTTATGAAAATCAGTATTAATTTTTATGGACTTCGATATTTGATGTCATGTTTATTTGCAGGTCTGAGAAGCAAAGTGTTGATACTTGTCACTGAATCGGAGAAAACCATCCAGTCACGATAAATCGAAAAAAGAATCCGCATAGTGAAATGGCCAGAGAATACTTCACAGAACTCAGATCCTTATATTCGCACGGAAAGCGATATATTGATATCCTTTCCAGATTCTCAAGAAAACAGATAAGACAGATATTCACCTTTATGTCTCTATGGAAACACGACAGGTACCCTTACGAGGGGAGAGTATCAACTCGGTGTTTATAAACCCTCTCTGCAAAGGAGGTAGGCGCATGGTGGGTTAGGTATATACAGTGTTCTTCATTGCAGAGAAAATTGTTGTTTATCTGCCTGCCTCGTCCTCATTGAGATAGTTGATGAATTGATGAATTACAAAAATATATCGCGTTCCAGTTACGAATGTTGAAAACAATATTCAGACTTTTCATAGATTTATATTGTATGTAGGTCTCATGATTCAAATTTGAAATTGATACTCAGTTTCAGATCTGAGCAGCATATTGTTTGGCCTTCAAGGTCCTCAATATAACCCACGTAATTGAAAATGTGAAAGATGCCTACTGGAAGAACCACTATTCGGAAAGGAAGCGGATATGTAGCAATCCAGTTACAAACGTTGAAAATATTATTCAGAAATGTCTCAGAAACAACATCCATGTACTTCATCTAATGATATTTATTTTCTGATTTGAATGTATTTTGATTAAAATGTAGCAATCCAATTACGGACGATGAAAATATCATTCAGGTATGTCTCAGATTCAACATTTATGTACTTCATCTGATGATAATAACTTTCTGATTTAAATGTACTTCGATTAATATGTGATGTTCAGTGGCAGATCGGAGAAAACCACCCAGTCCGCAAAGAGAAGTGACCAGAGTATACTTTACAGAATTCAGATCATTATATTCGTACGGAAGGCAATATATTGATATCCTTTCCAGATTCTCAAGAAAACAGATAAGACAGATATTCACCTTTATTTCTCTATGGAAACACGACAGGTACCCTTACGAGGGGAGAGTATCAACTCGGCGTTTATAAACCCTCTCTGCAAAGGAGGTAGGCGCATGGTGGGTTAGGTATATAAAGTGATCTTCATTGCAGAGAAAATTGGTGTTTATCTGCCTGTCTCGTCTTCATTGAGAAAGTTGATGAATTGATGAAGTACCAAAATATATCGCGTTCCAGTTATGAATGTTGAAAATAATATTCTATGTAGGTCTCACGATTCAATTTTGAAATTGATCCTTAGTTTCAGATCCGAGCAGCCTTGGCCTTCAAGGTCCTTAATATAACCCAAGTACGTAATTGAAAATGTGGAAGGTGCCTACTGAAAAACACTATTCGGAAAGAAAGCGGATATGTAGCAATCCAGTTACGGACATTGAATATATTATTTAGTTATGTCTCAGATTCAACATCCATGTAATTCATCTAATGATATTTATTTTCTGATATGAATGAATGTATGTACTTCGATTGATATGTGATGTTCTGTTGCAGATCAGAGAAGTAGTATTTGATACTTGCCACTCAATCGGAGAAAACCATCCAGTCCATACGAACCGAACGGAAGATTCACAAAGTGAACTGGCCAGAGTATACTTATGGTGACTAGTTATGTTATATACTTGGTATATTATGATTTGATAGTCCGACATTGATGTGACATTTTCATAATATAATTACACCTCAAAGTCTTATAATTTGTATCAATTGTATCCACAAATTTCGAAATTTTTTTTTAATATCGAGAAAACATGAAGCAATATATTTTTGACAAAAAAAAAATAGATTTTTTTTTTTAAGAATAACTGGACTTCAGGTTACTGATGAGGATATGATATCCGAAATGAATTTATATAACCTGTTTGTGAGAGATATTATTCCCATATCACTGATATGAATGATTTTTTTGGAAGTTCCAAGCTCATCATGATCAGAGTTCATGAAAGTATACTTCTCCTATACATTTCAATTTTCATTTCAATACTGAACATATCGGTAAGTTATATTTTTATATCATAATATATCATTTTATTCTATTCGATTTGAGAGATGATGTCAATTCTTAATTTCAGAGGATTTTGATTTTTCATGCTCTCTTTTTGGATATTCAACAGATATAATTCAATGTTCGACGTGGCAAATAGCCAGGAAAGTAGTTGTTTTCTGTTGAATATTCAAAATTATATTATATGCATATCTTTATATGAAGAATGCAAATTCTCTACTTCAGAAGATTTTGTTTTCAAATTCTTAACGTGTATGTTCAATAGATGTAATTCAATATTCGTCGTGGCATATAGCCAGGAAAGTAGTTGTTTTCTGTTGAATAAACCGAGAAAGAATTAATATTTTCATCACATGGAGAATGCGAATTCTCAATGTATTTCCTCATATATATACATAACCATTTCTTGTTTTTTTGTGTTCATAAATATATCTGAGTGTTCCTTTTCAAGAAAAAATATTCTTTCAAACGGGAGGCGTTTGAAAGTTTTGGAAAAATGCACAGCTTTGATTATCATCCTGTAGAATCTCATCCGGAAAAGATGAAATAGTCATATCCATAGGTTCGATAGTCAATGAAACGAGCTTTCAGAAACTGAAAAATAATTGAAAATCGGTTGAGAAAATCGAAAGTTATGATGATTCAAATCTGATCGAAAAAATGCGATTTTACGTTTCATGTGTTGAGCAGTTAATTTGAAAATTTGAAAAAAATTAGCAAACAGCCGCAGGTCACTCACCCTCCCCATCTCCTTCAGCTTCGTCAGCATCACCACGATGGTGCTGTTGTGCTCCCACAGCATCCGCCACAGGTCGTCGGCCGTGTCCGGCATCGGGCCTTGCGTCGCGATGTACGCCCTGCGGTAGCGGTACCCGTCGATGAAGCTGGCGTTGATGTAGTCGGAACCTTCGAGGCTGCGCAAAGGCGTCAGGCACACCCTGGTGGCCTCGAACGGCAAGATATGTACCTGTAGAGGAGAACGTGTTGAATCATGAAAATCATCCATATCTCAAAGTGATCCAAAGTAATTTCAAAAGAAAAACAACAAATATCTGAAAGTCGGTCGACCACCCTTCATAAAAAATATTGAAATATAGTCAATAATGAGACTGATGATGGCCGTTGCGCCATGTATATTTTAATATTTTTTATAAAGTGTGGTCGACCGACTTTGAGATTTTTTTTTTTTGAATTGACTGGACCGTTACTTGATGGAAATCCATGGCACATGTAAAAACTTCACAACCGATAAGATTTCCACAAAATTCTCAAACACACGACATGTTTCGCTAACACAGTAGCTTCGTCAGGTGATATACTGATACAATGAACTAAACTAACGATGGCTTGCATGACTTTTATATATCCTACTTTCCCAACCTGAAGGATTAGTTACCTGTGGACAGGTACGATAAACCTCCAATTTCGGAAATTAGGCACAATATCTACAATCAAATACGGTATACCGGATTAACTTGAAAGAGTTGATAGCAAATACATAATATTATTACTTACTAAGAAAACAAATTCAACAGTGGTGAACTATTGAGGTCTAATTGATCATTAAGTAAAATGTCAACATTTTTGAGTTTGTTGATTTCTAATGATTCAAAATGATTGAGTTTCAGTCCTTAATTTTCTACGTGTAGATTTTCGAAATTATCATCAAAAGTATGGTTTTCTTCTAGTATATGGTTGGCGTATGTTGAATTTGTTTTCTTTTTCATAAAATTCATAAAAGTCCTATTCTCCAACTAGATGGAAGAAAACTGATGTCGGTGACTGAGGGTCGATTCTCATGCTAAACTCAATGGTGAAAACCGCATATCAATATCTGTCTTAGTTTCGGAGTTACAAGGTGTTCTTTGAAAATGAACATTTTTGATAATTGGCTACAATGTATGTTCTCATGAAAATAACTGCAAAGCATTTAGTTTGTGATAACAATCATTCCTGAGGCACTGAAATCGGCATTCCTATAATTTGTTCAAGAATATAACTTGCTCTTCATGAAGGAAAAGTTATATTTTGACACTAGGTATATGGTGACTGATTTCAGTGCCTGGAAATGTTTTCATAGAAACGAAGAATTTTTGACAAAAAAAAAGGTTTCAGCCACTTTTCGAAAATTTACATTCTCGAAAAACACCTTGTAACTCTGAAAGGAAGATAGATATCGATATGCAGTGTTCACCATTGAATTTGTCATTTGAATTGATCAACAGGCACCAACATCAGTTTTTTTCTATCTGGTACGGGAATAGGACTTTCCCTTTAAAAGTGTCCAATTTGGCCCACCCTGTACAGAATTCTTGTTTCTCTCATCTGTTTTGAAATATACATATTTCAGCAACAGTGTGCATGATCTGTCAGGCGAATAAATTTATATAAATGAAATACAGCATTATTATTTACTGGACTCGGTTATCTTTGCTATTTAATATTTTGTATTTGGTTACTATCATGGAAAGATTTTAAGAGTTTGCTCTGTCAGTTTTCAGATGTACTATGGTTCGTGAAATCAAACTTGGTTTGTCCGACTTATACAGTTTTCTTACCTAGGAAACACATACAGTGTGGGCCTATATAAAACTAGCCCCGAGATTTTGAGAGTACCGCCACAATCCTATAAACAATATAATTGGCCAGAATCGCGATTCGTAAGAGAGCACCTGTGACTAAGACATCAATAGATAGTGTATGGTGTTTGCACTGATGCGCTTTTGATTTGCTCAAACTTGACGGCAATGCACAGTTAAAAACTCAATATAAGAGTCTTGTACTTCTTATTCTAATAGTTGTAGCTGTATGAATTATCTTCAAACTGGAAATAGAAACTCAATTATCAGAATTTCATTGAACACTATCAAAAATGAACCAACTTACACCATTTCTGTATTTTCTTGTCATGAGTATGTGATTGTTGTTAGTTTGTCCGATGAAAATTGAAAAAATGGATTTTCTATGAACAAGAACCTGATATCAATCAATCAATCATTCAACTTTATTTGACAAAATAAAGAATACAGTAAAATAAGACTCACACTCAGGAAGAAATCTTTTTTTGAGTCCAACTGAAAATGATTCTTAATTGACTCAGCTGTTAGGTGCCCATTGGAAAACTATAGTAAATGTACGAGAAAACTATAAAAATAAGATAAGATGTCAATATTACAGGCGTAGATGATTCTTGAATTCCTTTTCAAATTTTTCAATGCTATTAATCAGCTTCAAGTTATTTGGTAGTGAATTGTATTGTATCATTCCATTGTGATAGATGGATTTTTTACCAATATCTGATTTGATTTTATTGACAGAAAAATTATCTGCTTGTCTAGTTGTATAATTGTGGTGACTACTATTAATTTGGAAAACAAAAGTTGAATACTTTTGACAATATTTAACTGAATGAAATCTATATCTAATAACTCTCTTTTTCTGTAAAGGTTCTTAGTAGGTTCCAGATAATTTAGTCTGTATATACATTTGATAATTTTATTTTGAAGAGTTTTGAGAGGCTTCATAATTGATAGTTTTGTTGATCCCCATACAGAAATCAAATATTCAAGTTTAGAATATATCAAGAAGTACATAGATTTGAGACATTTTATAGAAACTTGATTCAGTACCCTAAAAAGTATACCTATTATTGAAGATATTTTTTTTCTAAATATTTCAAAATGTTTAGACCATGGCAAATTTTGATCTATGTACAACCCAAGAAACTTGATTTTATTTGAATATTTGATGACTTCATCATTACATGCGATTCGAAATTTGAACTCATAACTTGATTTTTTTTAGATGAACATAAAAGTTGATTTACTATAACTTATACGCAATCTATGACATGATAACCATGATAATAATATTCTCAAATCACTTGAAAATTCATCCCTAATTTGTTGTGCTGAACCTGCTGAATAGATTAAGGTTGTGTCATCGGCAAACATGATCCTTGCGGTACACCGCATGCTATTTCATCGCTCTTACTGAATGATTCTTTTAAATATACAAATTGTTTTCACTTGAATAATTTTGAAACCAGTCGTAGACAGGACTTCTTGAGTGTCGTCAGTATTTTTCGTAGAATTTTACATTCACACTACCCATTCAGACCCCCCTTTCGAAAGGAGCACGAGCCGCCACTGCTTCTTATTACTCACCAATCTATTTTTATGCTTATTGCACGGTAAGTTCGCCGTGGCGAACCGCGACGAATCAGTCTTAATGTTGCTCAGCTTCTTGAACTCGCGCTCCATGCCCGACACGTTGTCGCCCTGCTCCAGCTGCATCAGCTGCTGGATGTGCGAGTGCAGACTACGCGCCGACACCTCCGTGGGTCCGCACGCGTACGCCTCGAGCAGCGCGTCGTGGATGAAGATGTACTGGTCCTCGGTTTGCACCATGTAGTTGCGCTGCGCGCGCAAGCACGTCACGTGACCGTAGATGTCGACCGTTTTCTCGTGGCGCATGCGCTCCAGCATCGAATCGATCACGATGAAGCAGCCTGCAAATGGGTTTTGCGGTGGTGAGGTTGTGTGCAGGGAAGAATATAGCTATTTGTGAATTTAGAGCGCAAAAGAATAGATTGCCACTCGACAAAGAAAGTTAATCTTTGGAGAGCGGCAATGACACTTTGTGCTCGAAATACACACAAGACTTTTTCTACAAACGCAGCTTTTGGAAATAGCTGCCCTGAAAGTATGAGCCATTGACATAGTTCTTATCCATTATCTCATGTGTCCAACGGATAAAAAAAAAACTTGGAGTAACTGACAAGTCAGAAAAAAAATGTCGGGGTCAACCGAGAATTGAACCCGGATCACCAGCGTGGCAACCTGCGCTTCAGACCTCTGAGCCATAGTACAATAAACTCTGCAATCACATTAAACATAACTCATTGATGCAATAAAATATAGATACACTGTTTTTCTGATGATTACACCTTTTTTTAACAGAGCTTCCTGTAGAAATTTGTTGGTATATTATATCTTCAGCGCTGAATGTTTTGGATTTTTACGCTTTATATTCAATAGATTGTTTCTTGAGATATGCGATAAGTTTCGGATACTTATTGATTTCAATATTATTTTCAACATTCAAGCATGTATATGTATCATCGAATATATAGACCAAAGAGTTGATGACTACAAATTCTTCGATTTTCCACCAAAATAAGCCAGTAAAACGTTTCCTGAATACTTATCCACCTCCTCGAAGTTGCAACAATTAATGAATATATCATATTGTAATTCATATTTCTTCCTTGATTTCTGCGGTAAAAGATTCAAACTTTTGCACTTTCTCCTATATCAGGAGGTGTGTTTGATAGTTCACTGTCACTATTTCCTATCATGAAAAAATTAGGGGTTTTCAAGAATAGATAAGTATAGATTACCAGCGATGTGCAAGCGGTTTTGAATATTTACGCTCATGAGCGCAAATGCTGTCAAAGAATGGCATTTCAGGGAAAACGTCAACTTTGTGTTGGAATTTGAAAGCGTCAAAATGTACTTCGTTAAGCGGTAAAAAGAATTTTTTTCGACAAAATATGAATTATACGAAGGGCGATGCGGTTGTCTTATGGTATTTTCTCTTCAGTAGGAAATTTCGAAATCCCGAGTTTGAATTGAAAATACTGGAATACAAGAAATTAAATTTTATATGAGCTCCCAGTCGAAAATTCAGAGTACGCAGTTGGAAGTGCTGGGTGTGTACTGAGTATTTCATTTTCAGATTGAAAACCCGTACCTGGGAATTTCATTTTCTGAATAGAAAATTGATATTTCCAACTCAAAATTCGAAATTTGATTTTTTCGACTTCAAGTTTCAAATTATCTACTCAACAGTCGGAAAGTTCGAGTTTGCAGTTGGAAGTTCCTATTTTGAACTGGAAATGTAATTTTCACTAGCCCATTAAATTGGGCACTTATAGGAATAAACTATTGTGAGTTACCTCCTTCATCTGATATTTTTGTTCATGATGTCATCTCATACCAACTTTGTGGGACTGTCGTTATCTCAGGAATACGACTAGGACAGTGATATCAGGGTTGAGATTAGGCGATGAGGTGTCAGATACGTAACGCATAGAACAGTGACATTCTTGAAGCGCTCTTGGTCGGGATCACTGTTTGTTGATATATAATTATTTTTTTGGTTGACTGTAGTTTAGGGTTTCATAATTTCAATTTCGATTGAATTTATTTTGGTTTTGTGGTGGCCGTGTAGTTTACATTTGATAATCAATGATCCCTCCTTACTTTTGATATTTGTATAATGGAGTTGGTACTAGATGAAAAATTGTCAGAGCCCCTTCGATGGGCTACTACTGGACTCATAATGCATTGTGGTGGAAATTGTTGAATTTCAGATCTCACTTCAAACGAGCCGTCATGGCTGCCATTTGGATTCAGTTCTTATGCTGTTATACTTATTAGTCAGATAATCTTCCATTCTCATTCATGAAGCAAGGTTGTAAAGTCACCAATTATAATCAAGTTATTGTAGTTGAAAAATACTAACACCAAATTAAATATTTTATTTGACATAATAGAAGGAAGCCATGATATTATAGTTATTCATTTTCGACTTTTTCAAGTAACGAGCTTGTTAAAATATTTTTTATACTCTATAACAAAATATCATGTAAATGTTGGCTGAAGACTTGGCAATATGTGCTGAATGCTGAAAAATGGCAAGACAATGCCCACACAATCCGTGTCGTGGCTAAATGTACTCTAGTTTGAATTAATATAATTATTATTCACACAAATTCAAACATAAGAGGGACAATTTTAAGACAATAGATTTTTTATAGCTAACTGAGAATTTTATTACCAATACATAATTTAGAATTAATGAATTATCAAATGAATGCTATTTCTAAAGTTCCCAATTGTATTTCAACACATAGCAACTGTGCTATTGTCTGACCCTACTTAGAAAATCGTCGTCAGTTTTTATTTGCAGTTAATTTCTAGCCGTTTGAAAATTACCGTGGCATTGTTGGTGGTTTTAGGACCTTAAAAACGACCGAAAAAAATCTAAGAAAATAAGGAATTGAAAGGTAGAAAAATAGCCCACTCGCTTATCGTTAAGCCATTTTCATAACTATGTCAAATCTAACCGTCATCTGCATCATCAAAATATCACTACTCACCTGTTCTTCCAACACCTGCCGAACAATGCACGATAACCGGCCCAGCATCCTGCGGATTCAAACTCCTCACCCTCCGCAAAAACTGCAAAAACGGCGCCGGATGATCGGGTACCCCATGATCGGGCCACGCCGTGAACTGCAACTGCTTCAACTCCCTGCGATCCGTATACCCATCTTTGTGCAGCTGGAAGGTCCTTATGCAATAGGTGGCCAATTCCTGCACCTCCGTGACAGTCACCGACATACAACCGTAGGTCTCCGTACCTCGGGTGGGCCAATACTGGTCGCACTTGATGCGCGTGCGCTCCTCCAGTTTCGTCATCATCACGATAGTCGCCGACTTCAGCTCCCAGCACATTCGCCAGAAGTCGGCGAAGGTCTCTTGAAGCGGTCCCTGAGTGGCCACGTACGCATTATGTTTCCTATAACCGTCGCAATAGTTCGCGTTTATGTAATCGGTGCCCAAGATGCCGCTCTCGCTGGGCAGGATAACCCTGCTGTGATCGTACGCGATAACGTTGGCGTAACGATTCTTGGGCTTGTTGACGTCCATGTTCGAGTGATCCCAGGTAAACTGCTGCCCGGGCTCGATGCTTTCGTATTCCTGAGAGAATTTGAGGTTATCATTGGATTTCAGCCGCTCAATGTGGTTCGCCAGCTCACTGATCGATATGGGAGGATGCGAAATCATAGCTGGAGTTTGGAAATTCAGTCTTCGCATCTCTACGGGATCACTGGGCGCGATACTGGCATTCAGATCTGGTTGAATCAGAGGCCTGGTTACCGCCGTTTGATCAGGAGTTTTACAAGGCTGCCTACGTTTCCTTAGGATAAAAAGTATAACGAGTATCACAGATAGTAAGAGAGCTGCTATAATCGGGCCTATAATCCAGAACACGCCCGCTTCTTTTCTCTGGGAACTAACTTTGACGTCATTCTCAGTGGGCGTGTTAGGGTTAGGTCTGAGTGGAGGGTCGCCTGGTGGTACCTCACGCATATCTAGGGACAGGAATTCACTGAATGGGCTGCTAGTGTACAAGTGCTTTTGTGGCGTGTCAACCACTGCCCGAACGAAGATCCTATACCTTTTTCCATGCTCCAATTTGTAATTCACATACCCATCATTACTTTCACCAGTACCCAAGTGATAAGTATATGGTATGTTCCTCTGAGGGAACTTAGCTGCAATATAAGGCAACCCTGGTGTTTCAGAAATTTTGTCGACGTTCGATTGAAGCTCGTCCGTCAGAAACTGATCAGGGTTTTTCTGTATTGTCATCTTATTTTCAGGGACAACCACCAAGAAGTAGTGACTTATTGGGCCATACTCTTCAGATGCTTGCGGTAAAATGACGTGAATCTCTTCGCCGTTCACTACGCCATAGAAATCCGGTTTAACCATGGGTTGTGGAGCTGCCATTTGAGTCGTGACGGTGATCTTCGTAGGTGGTCTATAAGAGTTGTCAGTCGGGATAGCACTAACGTTAACATTGTATGTTGTGAACGGTGATAGTTCATTAATAGTATGTGATCTGATCTCGGAATTCAGCTTGATATCGACCCTAGGGATGGTTTGAATTTGCGTGATTCCTTGGGAATCAACGAACTCCTTGATAGCATCGAACGAGATTTTGTAGTTGACAGGGTTTAGTCTGATGGGTGGGGACCAAGACAGGGTCATGGAATGTGTCGTAACCTCATGTGCTCTCAGATTCAATGGCACATCCTCGGGTTTCACTTTTACGAGTTCTTTCTCGGACAACCTTCCCAGACCGTTTTTCATTCTAGCGGCTACCGCTATAGCGTACTGAGCGTATTTTTCCAGGTTTACTAAATCTGCGGACTCTGTGAGCCCAACGGTCTTCTGCTGCCATTCATCCAAGTCTTCGACAGCTGTCATTGTGTAAAATATTTTATAACCTATTATTTTACCGCCTCTAGATGGTACAGGCTCCCACCAGACTTCGACACTCGAATCAGAGGTGGCTACAGCTTTGACTGACATAGGAGCTCGGCCAATGTCACGTTCAGTTTGTATAGTGACTTTCTCACTATTGGGGCCTTCACCCTGACTGGTATAGGCTTTTACGTGGAAGACATACTCTGTGTTTTCTTCCAAGTTAGTGAACACAGCTTTGGTGTGAGAAACATTCCTTACAATAATATTACTGTGGTCAGACTTTTTGTGAAATTGGATATCATATTTCGTGATCTGCCCATTACGGTGTTCTCTGATTGGCGGACTCCATGTGGCGCAGACCACATCTGGAGTTTGGAAGTGATAGGTTATGTTAGTTGGAGGGCCGGTCGGTGGTCCTTCAGGTGTTTTGAAGTATTTTATAGCTTCTTGTCCGATGCCGATGTGATTTTGACCAGCTACTCGGAATTCGAATTCTACTCCTCTTTCCAGATCTGTTATTCGGTAATTCGTCACATGTATTCCTGAAATGGCATTTGAAAAATCAAAATTTTCATGTAAGAAATATGTCTCGTCATTCATGAACTTCCACATACGTATTAACAGCAATATAACACGTGGAGTGGAAATGGGAATCAGTGTTAAAAATGTCGTTAAAACACTGACAAAATAAATTAAGGAATATATATCACAACAATTCTCGAATGATTTGTTGTTCTAAGACTTTTGACTGAATATTTGATGATAATATGGAAGTTTAGTACACGTTTAATAACTTTCTTCAAAGGAAAGCAGTACAAGTGAATTCGAAAGAATATACCTTTCAACATTACATCCTTCAGCAACTGATCTTTCACACCATATCTCAGCCTATATCCTTTCAATTCTCCATAAGTCTGAGTCGGTCTCGACCACTCCAGTTCGATGGTCACTGTAGGCTCTCGTTCTATAACCCTGAAGAAAAAAGAATATTATTCAACAATCGCAGTACAAGCTCGAGTCCAGTGGTTTTATCATCTAAATTAGTATTGACCATTATGCGCCAAAGAAATACTATACGTCATCTACAACTATTTAGATATTAAAGCAACTTTGAGAGTTGAAATATAGATCACTGATTTTTTCCTGCAAAATTGAAATAGATAGCTGAATCTATTTGAAAATCATATCGAGCCGTAGGCGACAAGATTCAGAACAATGTCATGACCAAATTTAAAGCAGTTGGAGTATGTCAATCGACGAAATTTTATAATTAGAAACCTAGGAGAGAAATTCCATCGATAGTCGGTGACACCTCGTTTGTATAATCTTTAAGGAGGGGTATATGGAGAAATATGGAATATCACACATCTTTAGACTTTTCGGTATTGAAACTAATCCCATTTTCAACATAAAAATGGAAAATAATTCTTGAGTCAATCTCTTTTCGTTTTCGTCTTTAGACACTACTCAGTGACAGAAGTTTTCAAAATTTTCTGAGTTACAAGAGATTTCTTAATCTTCATCTTCTCTTCATATGATTTTTAAAAATCATTCCACTACGCCATATGTTATCCATTTTCATTGAGGATATGTTCAGCTAATTTTGATATGTCGATATGTCTTCTTCATATTGTACCCATGCATATTAGAGAGTTGAAGTAATCACTGTACGTAGACCTCCACGTAGACGTTAACGTAAGAAAAATAACGTTTACGTATTGTCATTAAATTGATTGAGGTCGTCCCTGTCACCGTAACATAATAATACATTTTGCTTGTGCTTTGTATTTGTCATCATTAGTTGTTTGTTTAGACCTGAACATTTATCCTGTTAAAATGAGGGGACTCCTTGGTGCAGAACTCCTTGGGGATCCCGAATTTGATAATTTTGACTCCTTGGCATATTTCGCGTATAGTTTGGTTAACGTTCGTTGATTTTTAAGGTACGTGAGATAACATACACCCGTAAGCCAACTACCAAAGCAAACGTGAAGAATTGAAAAATGCGCATGCTTAGCTTACAATAATGATCCTCTGTTTCACCATATAATACTTTCTGGATATTTGATCATGACAGGAAGATGGGATATGGTACAATATCACCCAATTGTATTGTCATTATTACTCGATTCACAACAGCGATGACTGTCATATCAACTGCTAGAAACTGAGTTTGTTCATAGATCCACAAATCTTGATAATGCTACGAAGATGGGATATGGCACAATATTACTCGAATGTATTATCATTATTAATCGGTTCACACCCGCAATGACTGTCAAATCAACTACCTACTGGAAACCGAGTTTGTTCATAGAGCGACAAAAGTACAAAAGTTCAATACCTACTTTATCTCCCTAGCTATTCGAGGTACTCACGATCTTTTACGAACATAAGAGGATTCTATTTCATGTGATCCAAAAGTAAAAACGCAATGGATGAAAACATAATTATCCAATAGTTGTAGACAAAAATACTGTATTTCCCCTGCCAATCAAGCTTCTATCAACATACTTCAGAGCCAATGCCGGTCGATTTGGAACCCCTCCAGGGGTCCGAACGCTCACTGGGGCGCTGCGATCTCCATCACCTTTCCTAGTCAGTGCTGCCACCTGCACTGAGTACAGCGTGTCCGGTTGGAGGCCTGTCACGTTCAGTTCCAGCAGAGAATCGCCGAAAACGTCGTACTTCATCGGTTCGTTGAAGAAGCTCTTGCCCTAGAAAATAATTTGAACTACAGAAGAAATATATCATTACAGAAAAAAGTGAGAGCTTCCTCCGGACTAGTTTACTTCAAACAAGTTAATAAATAAAATCATGTGAAATTGAGTAACATCAGAAGTTGGCATAAACATGTTTCTTCAGAATTCAGAAGTTTAATTTTTTGAAAATGACTCAAAAACAGAATATCATTTTATTGAAACTTCAATTGCGCAAATTCCCTCCCAATTTAACAAAATCTGTATCTCTCGTAGTTTCCAAGATACCCATACTCGCCCCTCCTTAACTTGGCCACAGTGTATATAATAATCCAATATTTGATCTCATTCAAATGTACCAAGGTACTTTTGGCAAATTTTAAAGGCGATTTTACATTTATTGTTAGGCTGTGTCCAAGTCATTCGTTCGACCACAGTGGTGATACCAGGATGGTCAGTGGTTGACTCGACTTCCATAAAAAATAACGTGATAACTTTGCGGGCCAGTTTGGAACGTGACCGATATTCCCAAACAGCTGGTTGGTCAAACTGATGGTCAGACTTCATACTGAACGTATGTGCCCGGTCAAACCACAGACTTGACACAGCCTTTGTTTCTTCTTTACATTAAATGTTGGTATATGAGAAGTAAGCCATCATTAATCATTGATATCTGATCTAAAAGTTCCAATTGATTTCCCGAAATGAAAAAGAATTGTGTCATCAGAGTATAATTTTATTTGGCCTTTAAGGTTGTTTCGAAATTGAATTGAAGTAAATGCGAAATAGTGTTGGTCCAAGGTGCTTGCTACAACTACTCTCTGCTTGCGATTTGATAAGTGGTCAAGCTATGAAACTCTGAAACTTTTTCAAGTCGTTTATTCAAAATGGTTCAATAAATATACACGTACATGTAAAATATTTCTCAGATAATGAGGGATATGATTCCATGGCTGATTCTTACAAGAAAACAGTTTTTATCAAAATGACTCCGCAAATGTACCTTTTTTTGATATACAGGATATCAACAGAATTTGGAATTTATACTTACCTCTTCTTTAGTTTCCTGAACATGCACGTGATATCCCAAGATGATGCCATTTTGTTCTCTGATCAATGGTGGCTTCCAGTTAACTTTAATTGTCGTTGAATTGAGCGGTGTGACTTTAACATCTTGAGGATCTCCAGGCACTGTGTGAAAAAATCGGATGAGAAACTCGAAGTGGGGCAAGAATATGTCATGCAAGCACATCACAAATCTGTTCAAAAATGTTTCGTTATTGAAAATTCTGAAAACCAATGGAAAACCTGTGAACATTTGAATACCAACACACGAAAGATGGTCAAATAGTTACCTCATCCTTCTTTTGAGAACAGGAAAAGATAATCAAGTGTTTTTTTTTTTCTATTCAACTACCTACTTTATCACCACACAAAAATCAACTCCACAGCTGCTTTTCAAGAAAACGTGTGGCAAATGAACATTTACTTATCGATCTACACAAGATGTCTACAAATAATCAGCCAGAAATTCAATTTTAATTAAGACTTTCAAAATGACCTTGACATTATGAAAATGTGAAGACATCCTGCACAGTGAAATGTTCGTTCACCTAAAAAGCGACAAAAATAGGCTACGAAACCACCTATCGTTTACTACTACCTAGCACAAAGACAAAATAGTACTCACTTCGTACAACTGAAGGACCACGTTTAGCAAAAAGTTAGAGAAAAAAAAATAGTAATTGTAATATTTACTTATTCCATCACCAACATTTTTCGTCAAAAATGCTCCGCTACAAAAATGCTTGGAGGTTCAAAAATGTTTTAAAAAAAAATACTCACACACATGTACTGATTCGAAATTCGTATAAAAACCGTTTGAAAATCCAGGGTGCTTGTGGGAGAACAAAAAAAATCGCTGGTACATTGTCAATCTGACCAGCTATCATTTGCACAAAACTATGTGATTTTATCGTGAATGTATAAATAATTCAGTTCGAGTTAATCTTACGTTTTCGGTATACGTTGACAAATAATAATGATAATGATAATAATAGCCTGCATACCTTGGTCCAATATAAGGTAGTGAAATAACAGAGCTATAAATTCCCAAATGAGTGCAATGTTCAATAAAACAGGAAGGATTAGACGAAATTATATGATCGGGATTTCTATTATAATTCGGGTATGACAGTTGAGCTACAGTACATACATTCTCAAACATTTCAATTTACAGGGGATATTTCAGGACAGACCGGTTTTTGCTTTGAGAATCGACAAAATAAATGAGAATGTAAGTACATATTTTTCTCATTTTGTTGTGGAAAACTTGGTTATTGATTCAATTCTGATATCGCTTAAATCCTATAGTAACTAACATCGTGCCCACATTTGGTATTAGATGAGGTTGAATTCCTATACTGGGTGTTATATTTTTATAAGCAACCAGTTATAGAACTTTATGGCTTTCATATTAATCAGATATCACCCTCAATAAAAAAAATAATGTTGATTCACGTATCATCTCTCAACATTTGAAACTGTTTTTGATCCTAAATCACCCTTTGAATGAATGAACTTTTTAATACAAATAGTTATATTGAGGTATAATATCCAGATAACATAATTTACACCAAGTAATAAGTTCAATGATTTTATAAAACAAAATAATCTGAATATACCAACTTGATTTGGAAATAATGAAAACGCATACGATCCTAGATTTAGTTGAATAATGAAGAACTTTCAAGATATGTTAAATATGAACTCAAGTATGTATTTCTCCCTTGATTACCGTCTCGAATACAAAGTCATTATTGGTTAATTGATTTATCATCTTAAACGTGATGGATAAGACATATTTGTGATATCAAACACATGCAAAACCTCGTACCGATACTGCAAGTTACTCACTCAAACTGATAATTATATTTTCGATAGCAACTTTTTTATAACATGCTAAATACTTTATCAACGATTTCAAATATACTACTAAACTACTAAGTATTGGTATTCAAATGCGATAAATGAATATTCTCATAACCCGAATTATGTCACAGTGGCGTAGAATTATGATACATTTCAAAAATTCTTTTAATCATCCTTTTCCCTATCAGATCATAGTTTTTCTCATCTTTCTCTATGGATTTTGAGTAGTTTTTATTCTCACAATCACACAAAACACTCTCAAAAGGTGCAAGTGGAAAATTACACATGAAAAAGTGACAAAAAAGTGCCATATTTGAGTGCGCATTTCACCTACTAAGTGGGGTGGTGCTCATTAGCAAAATTAAATGGAAGTAAGGGAGTTCTGGATTTTTTCAATTTGAGGCAGAGGTTGAAGGATGTCGGACGAAGGTAAATGGGCTAGGTTCATGCTAATTTCTCTAATATACCAGTGTCGGTGCTCAAAATAAAAACGAAATATTGAAAAAAATTGTGCCGTATGTGACTCAAAAATTGTGCCATTGCAATGCAACTCGGTGCTAGTGAAAATTAAAAAGCAATCATTACATGTGAACGTGAGTAGCTAAAACAGTAACAACAATAAACAAAATAAATACACAACTATTGAATTAAAAAGTACCGAATAAAAAAACATTGAAAAACTTTCACGAAAAACCTTGAATCTGCTCCTGCAAACGCTTTTGTAGACAGAAAATTTATAATAAATATAATGATTATTGGACAATATAGAATTCAAAAAATATGAAGCTATCAAATATATTCGAAAATTCAGTATTTCATTAAGTAATTCCATATTGTCCAGATATAACTAGACCCCTCCTACAAAAATATATTGAGGGATAGCTGCAAAAAATCACAAAATGTTCAAAAATATTTTCAATATTTTTAAAATATATATAATATCCTCTTCCTGGTGAGCTGCAATGGTTGAAAAATGTTTTGTCACACATATCTCTGGGGATATGTCAAAAAATTGTACGAGATAAATAAATAAAACAATTCAGAAATTAAAATTTATTATCATCAATCAACTGAAGAAAAATAAATCAATGTAAGGGATTTGAGGAAAGAATTATAGTTTTTACTTCGATTAAAATTCCAATTGTCATGCCAAAACATAGGATATTCACTGAAAGGCACTGAAATTATCAATGAAGGAATTTCCCTCATGATACTGCTGTTTTCACTAAATTTACTATTGAGTCCAATGTCTTCCTAGAGAGTTCAGTTTACTTTGAACTGTCACTTCCGGTTTCTCTGCAGCTGTTTTAAAACGAAAGACGATAACAAAATCTAGTATTGCGAAATCTCCTGAACCACACAAAAGAGATTAGCAAATCGTATCATGAATTTTATACCAACTTATAAGAATTAACAAAAATCTTTATTACAGATTAAGACTTGCTCAGAATAAGATGAGAGAATTAAAAGTTACAAACATTATTTCAATATTTATTATTCATTCATTTATAATTACTCTACTAGGTACTCTCTTCAATTATTGTTCACAACATGAATCATGAAAACTGAACCAGAATTGATTGTTCGGAAAAAAATTGCGACATCAATTTCAAATAGATTTCACACCCAGCAATAACTAAAAAAATCCGATTTTGAAATGCATCTTCATTGCTCAATTTGGTATCTTCGTATCTCGAAATGTACCTACGATCGTACGAATTATTCATGATTGCTCATATTTCATGGTAAGTACTTTCAATAAGAATTAACATATTGTTTAAATAATAAAGTTAAGAAAATATATTTGAATGAATGAATAAATAGGGTAGTTCCACGAAAATTTCAAATAATTTCACTTCTAGCTACTGGGTTGCATGAAACATACAGAAACCATATTATTTGGATGAAAAAGTTTGTATATTTTCCATTTGAAGTCTTATCATTGAAGTGATTTATTTGTCTGAGTGTATTAGATACTTGAAAATATGTTTTTTCTAATTTTCCATACCGTTGGGATGTCTCAAAGGTCTTCATAGGGCCACTGACATATTTCCTTCATCTCCACACACTGACAACATGGTGATTTACGCTGATGATATAAGTCCTCAGATATTAAACTTGTCATGTCAATTCAGTATATGGTCATCTACGGTGCAAGAAGTCTCCGCAAAGCATGCTTTTACTAGTGAGTTGACGGGCTTCAAATTACGTGACTTCAATTATTGGACAACTCTTATGAAGATTATCTTTAACGATTCCTTTAATACCAAGGTTACCTGCTTGTTTCCAAATTGAGCGACTGGGAGATTATTGCATTATTTCAATCGGGAATTCAGCCGCGGAGAGCGAAATAGTATTCCATATAAGAATGAAGTAGATGGCATTAAAAAATTGAGTCAGCTTTGCAGATAGATGAATTTCCTTTCAAACAAAACACATAATATGTGTAAATAAATATAAGGAGATCTCTAGATACGCCAACTAGGTTTTTGAAACTACAGCACAAGTGAATTTATCACACATTTAACACAACCTTATAGAACGAAATCAATGGTAAGCTCTTCAACATTCTACTTTGATATTCTAGAGATAACAGTCAAACAAACAACATACTTCATCAGAACTCATATACTTCGATTATTAACAACGACAATTTGCTTGGCAATAGATATGAGTTCTTTGGCCGTATTTTTTTATGTAGTGCGAGTATACAGTATTATGTTTATGATCATACGAAACATTATTCATGAAATATCAGTACTTTCCTCGCGCATAGATCTTATCCCGACCGTGCTGAAAGTCTTTTGGTTATTCCATAGTTTGGCTTCACATTTCATCAGAAAAAAACAACAAAATACAACGATAAAATGTATAAAGCGTAAATCTGTACTCCGGTAGCTCTACCTGGGCAAGCAAATCTGTATCGGATGGTTCACTGAAGGCAATCCAGCGTGAATAACTCTTTATTTAACAAATGATGCCCAAAGGAGGAGACACGTCGATTTCTATTTCGCCGGTTTGATGACTGATTCAAGTTCTACTTTCACAAGTGGAAGCAGCGAGAATTGAACTATTCTTTTCGTCCATCTATATTTTCATGACGTAATTGGTGGTGAAATGGACATTCCATCACCAGTAATGTATTATTTTACTTTACGCAACGTAACGTGATTCCCGTCAGTTTTGAAAAGTGTAAAATTAGATGTCAACATCAGAAACAGTTATTTCCACATTCACTCCAAGTTTTTTTTATGTTCTGGTTCTCACGAAAAGAGATATCCTGTAATGTTCATAGAACATCGTGAGAACCAAGGGAAATAAGGTGGGAATTGGTGTTCTTAAAATTTTGTAGGTTATATGCCTCGGGGAACACCTCCCTTGGTAATGTAATCCAGAGCCTCGCTGTTCGTTGGATGATGAACGAGTCTTTGGGAAGAGATGTTCTGCAGGTCTCCAAAGTGACCACGAAGGGGTGCGAAGCCTCAACTCGACGAGTCAATCTCGCGGGGACTGCCAAGGAAGGTTGGGGAGTTGGTATCTGGGATTTTAATCATTAGAATCTGTCTTTCGGGACACATAAGTTGACGTTTCAGTGTTCAGCTCAACCAGAATTCAGATGCCATGATTCGGCTGTTGCCAAATTCGATATGGATAAAAAGTGGAAAGACATAACTGGTTCTTAGAGGATTGAGATGTGACTAAAAAAAACAAGTGACTATAGTTTTATTGGTTTTGGAATACCTTCAAGAAATGGGGGTTGGATCAAATAGGGCTAAGTGAAGTAGCTAGATACTCAGCAACGTGGGTGGTATGTTCCGGCAAATTTAAGTGGAAACTACTGAAGTTACGTGTTTTTTCTTGGACGTTTACACTTCAGGGTAGCTTCGAGAAGTCAGTATCTTCACAGATCACTCGAACGAGGGAGATCCGGGTGATATTTTCGAAACCTACATTAGTTTACAAAATTGTAAGTCTATATTATATTTTTGTATTTCATTCTCGAATCGTTTCCCATTTCTTTCAATTTTAAATTTTTATATTATTCTCTTGGGCGATTTTGGATTCATATGGTTGATGATATAGAAGTAGAGCCTCAAATTATCGTAACATTTACGTAGAACTACCCTTCAAACTAATGCATTTATGTGGCTCGAAGATTTCGCAAAACCATCCACCGCTACACCCCTTCCCCTCACCGCATCTCCCCAGTCCCAACTAAAAAAAAAAAATCATAACAACGTACCATCTTCGTGAGTTCTCACGGTGATGGGATACGAACTGGGCCCGTCCCCCACCGACGTCCCAGCCAGCACCCAAATCCTGTAAGTCGTCCACCGCTTGAGCTCGTCCAGCTCGAAGCTCGTCCCGTTGAACCTGACCACGTTCGCTTCGCTGTCCGACCTGTCCGACTCGACGAACTGCAGCTTGTAGTAGACGATGTTGCCGTTGCTGCGATTGGCAGGCGGCGGGTCCCAGCTCACTCTGATCGCCGTGGGACTTACCGCCTCTCCGATAACGTTGCTGGGCGGCGCGCCGGGTACTGCGGCGGCGGGTCACAGTGAGTTCCCGGTGCAGTACTCTCGGTTTTACGCGTCACAAGCTCCGATATATGCGAATTTAGTGAACGAGAAAGAAGGGCATTTCGGAGGCCTTACTCTCCTTTTTCATCATATTTACTCGTTTGCAAAAAGAACGTGATATTGATTAAGGAGTTTGCCGTACCGATCAAGGCTTTCATGGCTGCGTTCATAAATTTATAGCGAATTCCAATTGGAATGAGCTGATGGAGTATTGTGCATATAAAAATAATAATAATATCGTCGTTATTATTTTCTCCCATTTCACATTTGAATAAAACTAAAATATACAGGGTGGGTCACGGTCGATGGCACCTTAGACGTTTACGGAGAACGGGACATAAGATCATTCTGAAAATTTGGTTACTCAAGTAATTGCTCTTGATCTATCGATCTAAAATATTTTCAGCTCTGCGGCGTTGCCGCTTCTATCGAAAAGTAGCAACAACTTTGTTATTTTAAATAGAACACCCTGTATTTTATCGCATTTTCAGATTCTCTCTGAAGAGCTGATTTCATCGATGTATCACACTTGGGGTCTAGCGGAAATGATTACAGAGATATAGGGTGTGAAAAATCGACATTTTTCAACTTTAGGAATTTTTTTTGTCGAAACTATTCATTATTGGTCAAAACGGCTCACATGTCCCTATCCCAACTTTTGATCAACTATCTACTGACATTTAATGGAAACAAATACAGGGTGGTGCAGAATTCAGATTCTTGATCACCCGGTATATGTCCCAATTAAATATCAGTAGATAGTTAATCAAAAGTTGAGATAGGGACATGTAAGCCGTTTCGACCAATAATGAATAGTTTCGACAAAAAAAATTCCTTAAGTTGAAAAATGTCGATTTTTCACACCCTATATCTCTGTAATCATTTCCGCTAGACCCCAAGTGTGATATATCGATGAAATCAGCTCTTCAGAGAGAATCTGAAGATGCAATAAAATACAGGGTGTTCCATTTAAAATAACAAAGTTGTTGCTACTTTTCGATAGAAGCGGCAACGCCGCAGAGCTGAAAATATTGTAGATCGATAGATCAAGAGCAATTACTTGAGTCACCAAATTTTCAGAATGATCTTATGTCTCGTTCTCCGTAAACGTCTAAGGTGCCATCTACCGTGACCCACCCTGTATAACATATTTATCTTTGAAAGAAAATTAAAGGCGGAGTTCAATTTCAATAGTGACGAATCACCATGGACATTGCTCTTGTTTCCTTCTTACTAGCATGTGTTAAACAGATGTTGTTGTTGTTGTTCTTTATTACCCCAAGAAACATGTTTGACAAAAAAGACAACTAATTAACGAGTTATGTCAATAAAACATAATAATTAAAATAAAATCATTCCAAGGATTCAGATGAGAATTAATTGCTCTCTTATTGTGTCATGAGTATATATTAGTTTCATATTGACTTTGAATCTCGTTTCTTCAACAATATGTTTCAAATTATAAGGTAATGAATCATATAAAAAGATTCCGTTGTAAAATACTGATTGTTTGTTCAAACTGGATTTTTTTTTTCACAAAGTGAATGAAAGAACATATTTATATTTTATATAAAGATGATAAATTCAACAGATTTTTTGGTTTGTGAAGATTAATAGTTGATTCCAGGTAATGTAAATTGTAAATACATTCAATTGTTTTATTTTGTAATTTCATTAATGGTTTCAAATGTGGTATACTTGTGCTTCTCCAAATTGATATTAAATATTGTAATTTTGAGAAAATCAGACAGAAATATATATTCTTCAAATATCTAAAAGGAATGAAACCTGATTTGAAATATATCGTCAAAAGTTACTCACAAAGTAGCCGTTTGAAAACTCTTATGTGAAGGTATGCAACATATCAAATATCAAATGTCAAAAAACTCACAGGTTTTCAGGTTTCATTTTATGAGGATAATCATCATCAAACTTGAAATAACTGTCAGAGTACATCATAACTCTATTCAAATGCAGGACATGCCGGGGGTTTCTCTAAGTACGTTTCTGAACGACTGTGAGTACTGCTAGAGTAAGTTTTTGAATGCACCCCAAGGGTTTTTTTCAGACAATAGGAACAAAATTGTCTTTCTGCACTACTATGCGTATGCCTCAGAAATGCATCACGTGATCTGAATGAATGAGGTTTTAAATGATGGCTATTGGTGACGTTTTGTTGTGTTTTGCGTGGTCTTTTGACTCCATTTTGAGCCATTTGGGATCATACATTTTCGCCAGAAGTTTTGGAAAAATTTCATTCTTGCAATCTTGCTCTGTCATGGATTGCTCGTTTAAATTTTATAGGTTGATTGTCATTAAAATATCCAGGGCATTCTAAATGTACCCAGCAGCCACATAGATTGGGAATTAGGTTATGAAATGTAAACAGGCGATTTTTAATTAGAGTTTACAAGATTTGAAACTAAATTTGAGTACATACTATAGCAACAACAATAGTTCATGTAATAAGACCAGAAAGAGCCTGCAAGTCCTGTAAATGGGGTTTTTCGATGAGTGCTGTACATTTTTCAATCATCAGTAATTTTTGCGATTGACATAAAATCAAACCCTCCAATCTGTTTCAAATATAAAAATCAGTTGTCATCCAAATGAGAAAAAAATCAGATTTGATTCAGATATGTCAAGTTTGTAATATTTTGATGTGTTTTCAAAATGTGAAAATGAATCATTTCTATATTGTATAATAGTTCAATAAAGGAAACATTTCTATAGGTTCAAATGGGCGTTAAAAATCAGAGCCTGTGACGCTGGACGCAAGAACAGAAAACGGTGCATTGGGAACTCACCTTTAGCGTTAAATTTGGGCGGGCGATAAACGCGTCGATTTGAGGGTTCGAGTGGATATTAAACGGGTTCGATACTACCCGGAGGCGAGAGATCGATAGTGAAAAGTAAAGTGGTGCTCGGGTAGTTCAGGAATATGAGGAGTGCTATTTTTTAAATAAATTGTTCTTACAAAAAAAAACAATATCATGACTCAACATCTTATCTTTTATCAACAGAAAAAAATATTTTCTGGTCGTTGGATAGTTGGATAAGATCCTCAATAATCTATGTTTGGTGTAATCTCATGATCTCGACCATATTATGCTGTGATACACAATAGAAGATCTTCCAGGTCAGTAGTAACCCTTTGTATCATCTAAATAATCAGAAGAGATCAATAAAAGCATCTATCTATAGTAAACTAAAATCGATAAATCCTGTGTTGTATGATGTTCGTTTTTGTTTTTTACCTATTTTGATTTTTCAAATTGCTAACCTGATTCCAATTCAATGGATTGATAAACTAACCCAGATAAAATACTTTTGTAAAAAAGAAATAATCAACCAAACACTTGAGAGATTTCATTTTCTTTAGAATGAATAGAGAATTACTCATAATTTTATACACTCATATTAAAATAAACTTTTGGTGAATATACTATGAATAGCACTCCACATCATTCCAGAACTGTATGGTGCTGATTAAACAAATTAATATCCACTGATAACTAACTTGGGCATGCACAAATGCAATAATAACATTAATATTCACACACTCTGCACACATTCAAAATCCTGGTTAGGCGAAAAACTTACACACCTTGATGATGTTTGCTTTCCCCTAATCCAATATTTTTGGGAAGATCAAATTTAGTGACAGGGTATAAAATTCAAAATTTTCATGATTGAAAAGCACCTACACCACTATAAATATAGGTGAAGAATTATTGTCTTTCACCAAAATAAGAACTGAAAATTCATTGGACATGAACTTGGAAAGGTCGGAAATTTTTCAGATTAAGATAAAATTAATTTGATCAAAGGTATTCTTGGATTTTCTTATAATAATCCATAGGATGTTTTGCCCCTGCTCAGAAGCTTTTTCAATCAATAATTATTTATTTAGACAGACAAGTTCGAAAACAGCGTACATAGGGAAGCTAAGGAATATTACTAATATATGGACGTATCTCATAGGCCATACTCCATAAAAAGACGAACAAAAACAAATGGATGAAATGATGAGTTTTAGATTATTTCCTTCTTAGCCTTTGGTTAATTTTTGTTTATTTTGGCCAGAAAGGTGTATTGTATCACAGTAACTTTCTGACTAAATAGAACGAAAATTAAAACAGAAAGCTTAAAACAAATAATCTGTATCTCACAGTCACAATTATTATTATTGTGTCTTTTTTATGGAGTCTGGTTCACAAGGTCCATATTTCTATAACAAACAATACTAATCCACCGATGCAAATGATATAAGAAATATTTTCTGGACACTATCTTGTAACATATCTCTCTAATGTATAATTGATGGTTAAAAATCTTTAGCCAGAGGCAAAAAGTCCCAAATATATACTAACCATTGATTGAAACCGAATCAAAAGAAAACCTTTAGCATATAATATGAATGGTCTTTTCATCATGAGTTTGAAACCAATAAATTAATATTCTGGAGTTGAGGTATTTCTTTGGTATAAAACTCGTTCTGGCTTCATAACCAGCAGATGATCTGCATCTAAGTTATCTTCTTGAATCCGATGAACTTTCAATTCCCTCAAGTAAATCTCTCGTTATAACAGAACAATAGTAACTTTGACATATTGTATCGTCGAAATATTTTCCATTGCTTCCTAATCAAAAATCGTTATACGAAACTACTACACCATTAGTACAAAAACGAAAAGGAAGTGACTCCACTATCAAATCCGTAATTTGCAAGCTGGATTTGGTTTTGCCCAGACATAGATATTGGCGATTCCTAAAGACCAATAAGATCGATCACCCAAATCGCTATGATTGGTCTTTAGGAAATCGCCTAAATGTATCTTTGGGCAAAATAAGTTGATGCAATTTGCAAATCGATTTCAAATTTCACCTTACAGTAGAGGCTCCGAAGTAGGATGGAACTTCACCCACCTGTTTATTTGATCTAAATTATTTTATAAGTAATTCAGCATGTTGAATATTATTAAAAAAATGGGCTGCCTGAAAGAATCCTGGCCAGGCTACAATCAATTAAAAATTCAAAAATATATTTTTTTTATTCCTACCAATGAGTATAATAAAAATTTTACACTAACTGTGAGTACAAAGCCTACTAAATAAACAAACATAGGGTTGCCTATATTTTGCCCTGTCTAAATATTGGGTTGCCAGATATTAACAGCTATTATGGCCCTAGTTATTTCCACCTTACTAATATAAGCGTTTTTTATTGGGAATACAATGATATAGGGTTGCCCACAATACAAAGTCTGTCCTGAATGACGGTTTCCGAATTAAAAATGAAATAGTGCGACTGTGAACATGCCACAAAGAAGTCCGAGACAAATATCTACCAAAATCTATAATCAAAATTGTTCTTCAGATGAATCAGACATAGAATAATAATAATAATGAATCGAAAGTTATTCTTTATTTATATTATAATATAATTTTTATATTTATGGTGTAGTATAATGACATTTTTGTACTGAGCAAAATGTTCTCAGTGTTATCTTTTTATTTTTTTTCTACATTCATGCAAAAAGCAGAACTTTATTGAACTATATTTAGTGGAAAAAGAAGTTCTTTATTGCACTTAGTGCAATAAAGTTTTTATTGCACTCATCTGTCATTCTACTTCAACGTGCTGTCATCATGACAAACATTTTTTATATTGCAACTGTGGTTATAGAAACGTCAGTCAAAAATTAATTCTGACAATTAACAGAATTGTACCTAGTGCCGCACCTCAATAAATCATTTTTTGCTTTTTGCATGAACGTAGAAAAAATGTTGTATGCAACTCGTGCAATAAACATTCACTTTCTGCACTTGTTGCATAAATAACTATTATTTAACATTTTCGACGGTTCATTTTGTTCATTTTGAAAAAAGATAAAATTCCATGCAAGCAGTAAATACATTGGTTTCTGATTTTTACTCATGAAAACATTTGTACACTCTAATGCAGCATTTATAATTAAATGTATTTTTATAATATTGTCAAATTATTGAAAGTTATATATGAAGTTATTTACCTAACAAGTGCAGAAAGTAATACTTTTCCGCACGCGATGGCGGTTACACGAAAGAGGTGGAACAAAGATAGGGCAAGCCGTCAAGGGTGGAAAAGACATTTCGCTGTTCGTTGGATGAATGAGGCATTGGAAAGAGATGTTCTGCAGGTCTCCAAAGTGACCACAAATGGGTGCGAAGCCTCAACCCTACGGGTTAATCTCGCGTGGACTGCCAAGGAAGGAACAATTGTTATTATTTCAGAAGAACATCGTCCATGAAAATATCTATAAAATAGAGCCAGATCGCCAACTCTTCTTCGCTGTCTCAGAGGAGTGAGTGAGTTTGTGAGCGAGGCATCACCCACGGGACAGATTACCATTTTTTGGACAGAATCCAACAGTTTCAGGGTATGTTTGGGTGCTGCACTCCAAATATGGGAACAGTATTCCAGGACAGGTCGGATCTGTGCCTTAGATCATAAGCAGCTGACGGGAAGTAAAATAGCTCCTGGCCAGAAACAGAAGACCAAGTTTTTGGGAAGCACTTTTAGCAATTGATCTCACGTGATCTTCCCAAGAAAGGTTATTGCTGATAGTAATACCAAGCATTGAAATGGATGTCTTCAGAGGTATGGTTACTTCTGAAAAGCTTACGTTGGGCACAGTGAGATCGGCTTTTCTAGAGAAAAGGCATGCTTGTGTTTTGTTTGCATTGAAATCTACCAAGTTATTGGATCCCCATCGGAGAATTGTTGCCAAGTCTATATTTATGTTTTCAACATTTCTCCCTCGTTCGTTTCTGATTTGCCTGGCTGGTATTGGAGCTCTGGAAGAGAAGGCGGTATGGAGGGTACTATCATCAAACAATATACTATTTACGCACGCTCATAGGGAAGCAATTAACATGCTGAATTACTTATAATAGCTATTTACATATCAAGGGAGCAAAGGTATCCATTTCCTCCCGCGTGTGAAGTTTGATGCCCGACGCGTAGCGGAGGGCATTAAACACACATGGGAGGAAATGAAAGTTTGCTCCCAAGATATATATATGATTTTATCCACGAAAACATATATTTGAGAGCGTCGTTCTTAAAATTGTGCTTCAAGAGTCTCTATCCAAATCAATGTGTTACATGATCTAAGGTTTTACATGATCTAAGGTTACAGAACGGAAATCAATTTGACATTGACACTTCTGTGTGTATGAGATCATTGGAAAATGAAATTGTTATTCGTTTTATAGAAGTGATGGACACACTGATTAGGTTCTTGGGTAGCACAAATCTTGTGTATATCTCTACCAAGGAAGCATACTGAAGCCAATTTATTTTACCTCCCGTGGGAGTAAATTGAAAGGTTTGTGTCCTCAAATGAGGAAGCCAACGCTATCTTTCTATGCAGTGAGTAGATAAAATAATGTTCATCCAATAAACAGATCGACCTTACTTCGGATCCCCAGTCGGGAACCAACATGGCAGCGAAGCCACTTCCCAACAAAAAATGAAAAAAAACAGCCGATACTTTCCGAGGGCGCTTTTCCCCACCCTCGGACCTCACCGTATTGCTTCGTCCTGACCGGAATGGGCGGCGTGGTGGCGCCCTCGCCGCGCTGCGACCGCGCCGCCAACCACACGTAGTACAGGGTGTTCGGGTAGAGACCCGTCAGCGTGTACAGCTCGGCGATGGGGATGCGCCGGTGGTGCTTCTCCTTGGCGTACGTGTCGTTCCAGTAGAGCTCGTAGCTGACGATATTCTCGCCGGAATGGGTGGGTTTGGTCCATTGCAAGGTCACCGAGCTCTCGCCGATGTCGGAGGCCCGCAGGTTGCTGGGCTGACTGGGCACACCTGCAATTGGCCCATATTAGTAGTCGTTTGGTCAAGAAGTCCCAAGTCTTCCTCATCTAAAGTCGGGTCCCTCGATACAAACTGATGTATTCTTCATCTAAAGCCCTGGTTTCTCTGACCAGATCGGCCCGAAATATTTCGGTAATATTGTACAGAAAGTTCGTTAGCGTTTCCTGTGAAACCAAGCGTATTTGTAGTACGTAGTGGCGGTTTGTATAAAAGATCGGAACGAAATTTCGGGAAAGTGAACGGATAGCAGTTCGTCGGAATCAACCAGTGTTTGATTTGAACGATTTCAAAACGGCACAGTTTGCCGAAATAGTGTAGTATGTTTGTTTTCCTCGCGAGAAATAGGAATCAGATGCTTATTTGTAGGTAGCGAACTGATTTCATTCTCTATATGATTCAGTAGATCATGGAATAGTGATGGAATTAAACGGAAAAGTTCTTTAAATTTTGTATCATTATCCGAAAGATGCTTCAACACAAACAACTCATAAATAGAGTTCCTAAATGTACTTGACACTGCTGTTTTGACGTTTTTTGGTACAAAAAACATTAAAACAGCATTGTCAAGTACATTTAGGAATTCCACTCATAAACACCTTCTTTGGCCCTTTTCTCAAACATGTTCAAAACTCCATTATTTTTAGTACATACCCCTAAGAACGCATACTTATCATCGTCATCATGTTCTTCTTCTAAGATGATAGCAATAAAAAAAATCCATTTTTTATTTTGACTTTGCCACAAACACCCTACGAGAAGACTGAAATATATCGGAACGAAAATTTACGGAAATTTTCTTCAGACAAACCACACATAGACGAAATTTTCGAACGAACTGTATCCGGCGAAATTTTCGAACGAACTGAATCCGGCGAATATCCACGTTCTGTACGCTGATATTCGCCGAAATATTTCGGGCCAATCTGGTCAGTGAAACCAGACCTTAACAGGGTACGAACAGATCATAGCTCCTTTCTCTTCTAATCATCTAGTGACTTTGGTTTCGTGTATTGTTGTCACGTCACATTCATAGGCGTTAAAAGAGATCTTACAAAATTTCAATTTCATACTTGATCTTGATAAATTATTCAATTCTGTTTTGGAAGGATGGTAAAATGTGCTGCGTTAGGCTGTATCAATCAGTTGGATGGCAAATTTGAATTTGTCAGCTTTCCATCAAATGTAAATGAACTCACAACATGGAAAGTGAAGTAACCGAATGGGGAAAATTGGTAAATACATCATCAAAATATTCTAGGTAGAACTAATACGGAATCACATGTTATACTTTCTCATTGTGCCTATAATCATCCACTCCACAAGTTTTTGAATGCATTTTAGTAGAAACAGTTTTGATTAAAACGGAGGATTAAAAGAAAAGGCATATGCCCTACGATTTAAAAAATGAAATCTTCATTCAGGAAATATTAAGTGTTCGTGGAAAACTGCAAAATTGATTCCCAACATGAATATATACAGCACACATGACATATGAGCATATTAGCTTGAATATCTACAAAAAGGCTTAGTCTGAAATCAAAATTCATTTATTGATAGGTACTGCCTAAGAACAGTCCCATTTGGAAAAACGTATTGAACTTTCAGAAAAATTTGCTCACTGCCTCACAAAAATTATGCTAGAGTTGAAAAATCAATAACTCGAAAATTATCATCATCATTTGGGTATAGTAGAGTTGAATGAGAAATTACATGTGGAAATAACATATGATACGCCCTCAATATAACCTAAACAACAACAAATGTCAGAAATCTAGTGTTTATCCCCAGAAATGAATAAAGATCGAACTATATGACTGTTTCACAAACACTTTAGAGTGAGAGGAGACGAGGATCTGTCCGTACCCTGTTAAGATGACAAATACGCCAATTTACATCAAGGGACCCTATTCTAAAGATTCCAGAGCCACTTTCCAATTGCCACAGAGAGTAACAACGAGTAACTCCGAGTAGATCTTGATCTGATCAACAGCATTCCCATTACAATGAGCTTGGAGCACTCAAACTGACCAATGCTACCTACCTCCTTCCCATCGAGCACCAGCTTTAAGAATAGGATAACAAACTCAAAAATTGCCAGGTATATGTCAAAGTTAAAAAGTTTTTGTCAGAAGTGACAGATGTATGTTTATGTCTCTTCAAATGATTATTTTTTGTTTTTTTGAAAACAAAAGTATCATCCATCAGATGTTAGTAAAAGACAGCAATCAAATTAACGACGTTCTCTTCTTCATTAATAACTAACTGGTGTATCTGTTTAACCTTATCAAATACAACACAACCTAGATGACCCCGAAAACTGAGTATAGTATAGAATGTATTTAGACCAACAACAACACACTATCTTTTATGAACTTTTTGAATTCTTTTTCTTTCTCTAATAATATCCACTTCATCATATGAATATTCACAACTTGATAGTGTTTCATTTTGCTTCAGCATCATTTCCTGTGGGTTATTCAGTATAAAATGTGCGAGATGAGACAGTACACCAACCAAAATCAAAAAATCCACAAGTTAGTCCATCATAAAAATACTACAATCAATAATTCAAATTCAAATTTCGAGCCACTTTGACGGAAAATGCGTCAATAAAATGTCATTGAATATAAAAATTGGTTTATTTCGACGGTAACAAATTATTGAAAAATGCAAACTTCAGAGTATTTTTAATTTATTATTTTACTTTACTTTTGTATTCTTTCAATATCAATGTGATGGGTTAACTCTTGAAATGGTCAATGCCTAGAAATAAACCATGCTATGTCACTACAAAATACTACAAAATTCATTGAAATGCTTTATTGTTCTCACCTTGTTGTGTTTTGACGTGAACTGGAGCACTCAATGGACCTGGACCCACTGAGGTGAAGGCTTGTACCCTGATAGTGTAAATGGTGTGAGGCGTAAGCTCACTGATTGTTGTCAATTGATTATTATCGACTACTTGGGATTCCCACAGGGCCATCGGTTGTTGGGCATTCGTCGTATAGTATACTTTGTATCCCTGAAATAAACAAGTTGAAACATCTTTATCCCAAGATATGAATAACATGAATAAATGAAAAATAGTATAATATACACCTAGGGTATATATAATTTTCATCTACTAAAAATGACCTATCAACATCTTTAATTAATCCAGAGTCATTCAGATCTAGAAGATACTCCATTCACCATGTATATTCAGCATTGTTCACTATATCAATTTCTATAATATTGATATATCAAGTATAGCTTAGGAGTTCACTTGTTATGCAAACATGTCATTAAATAAACGCTGCATTAAAATTCCAGGTGAAATGGTGAAAAAAGAAAAAACTAATCCCGCCTGCATAAAGTTAGGAAAGCTATACAGATAAATATAGCAAGTACTCAAGTAGATATCGAAACTACAGTATTCATTACAATATTTTGAAATATCATGAATATCGCAGATGATATCATTGAACAACCATTGAACTGATGTATGTAAATTATAAATCATTTCGGCACCTTCAAGAAACGCTAGCTTCGATGACGTCATGAACCGAAACGAAAGTGATCATTATCTGAATTCTGGCTTTCACATAAAATGTAGGACTACATATTTCGACGCTGGCAGATTTGTAACTATAGTAATCACCGTATGAGATTCAGTTTGACCAATGACAACATTATTCACATTCACAGAAGACAATAGTTCAACCTGGTCTCTAATAATCACTCATTGAATACTTATTTACTTGCAAGATGCTTCAGTACCAATAAAAACATTCTAGTATTCCTAATAATGATCAGAGATATTATTTAACCCTTCACTACTAACATGCCGTCTGAGAGACTGATCCCCCACTATTCTCCCCATATCATTGCGCATCGCAATTCGATTCGGTTGGGCGGCTAGCTATCTTGATTTCATTCAGTTACGGAGCAATTGCCTTAGTGGAAAGTATGTAGTATCATTTTTGGTGGCAGACCTACCAGACTCCAGTGAGGAAGAATATGTTGAAAAGCGCTCAGAAGATTTCGACTTGGATCAAGAGTTAGAACCACAGTCAGTAAAATATTTCGAAAAGAGGTCTGAATCGGAACCAAACTTAGAACATTACTGCACATCGAGACCATATTTTCAACCAAAACGCGAAGTATAGCCCTTTTTCACTGGTAAAGACAACTTTGGTAACTCTGAAGAAGATTTGGGCTGATTTGCGACAGTGAATTAGTTGGGGTTAGTACTTCGAAATAATGAAATAATTTTTTTCACTGAAACATGCCCATTGCATACCCTTCAGTAGTGACGCCACAGTCTCAGAGACTGCAGGCAACCATTTTAACCAATAACATTTGTTGTAGGGGGGTCTTCACGATGAAGTGCCGTAAGTGTATCCAAGATGGGGCAACAAGTAGTGTCAGTGTGTGTTGACGTTTTGAATCGATCAAAATGGCCATTGTTTAAGATAGATAGATAGGAAGGATATTTGTTGACTATGTTATGTACAATGATACATTTATAGCAGGTCATTTATACAGGAGATTAATATTTGAAAAACGAACGACTATACATATTTGACATAAAGAAACAAACAAACAATTCACAATAGAAAATAACACGTCGCTCCACCTGACGGCAACAACTTGAACACTTCTGAGCGGTTTGTTTTGATGATGAACTCCGATAGGTGGCGTATGCTCAAGTATGCTTATTTTCTATTGAGAAAATGTCAGGTGAGGTGTCTATGTATTGAAATTGTATGTAAAAACTCTTCCTCTGTGTAGAAGCATTCTTTTAGAATGAGTTTTTTGATTTCCTTCTTGAAAATTGTAGAATTCATATTTTTATAATGGTTTGGTAATATATTGTAAAATTTCACATCAACAGTATTATTTTGTGTAATTCAAGTAGGAAATTATATATTATTATGTATACTGACAGTAAAGACATTATCGTCAATTCAATGGAGAAAGAGCGACAGTGTTCCCTAAAATCGATTTTTGCTATGATTCCACTTGCTTCCTTTTTCAATTTGAAAATATTGTTTGAGTGTACAGAATTTCCCCACAGTAATGTCCATAGTTTATTTGAGAATGAATGAGTGCCAAGTAGATTGCTTTTAGAGTTTTAAAATACCGAGGAAAATACAAGGGTGATACTGCTCATAGTGGGGCACACTGTACATATTTAAAATACGATTATTGTATACTTTATTTACCGTTACTTGTCCATTTGGTGTTTCAGGCTCTTCCCACTGTATCACCATGGTACTCGAGCTCAATGGACGAACTTGCACATTTTTGGGAGATGTTCCCGGTTCTGTAACAACAACTCAGTTAGAATTAATGGGAACATAATGAATGGAAAGCACTATTTACATTGTGATATTGTCTAAGCTGAAATGTTGTGAAAATCTAGGATAAGATAGATTAAATCATGCTGAACAAGAAATGTGCCTTGGTCCAATGCCCATTATGCCGGTTAAAAACAGCTATGAGCTCTTGAAGCCAAATGATACAACCTCTACCAGAACAAAAAAAAATTCTCGAGGGGCTTTGTTACCTATAGGTTAGTAATCTAAAGGGGGTTCAATTCGCCATTTGTTTTTCACCATGTAAATAAAAATAGTTATTTATTATACAAGGGTAAAAAGAAGAAGATTCTTGATTCGTGAGCTAAAATCTAAAATTTTTCCCGTGTGGTAGATCGATGACATCAGCTCTTCTGGGAGCATCTGGAAATGGAATTATATACAGGGTCCTATTAAAAAAATCGAAGTTGTTGCTACTTTTCAATGTGAGTGGCACCGTCGCAACACTGAGAATATTTTAGGTCAATAGAACACAACTAATTATCTGAGGCAGCATTTTTTCAGAATAATCCTGAGTTGCGTTCTCCAGAAACGTGTAATGTGCCATCCACCGTGAATCAGCCTGTATATAGGTACAAAGCGCATCTAGTATATCTTCTGTCCTGGTTTGGCATCAAGAGCTTTTTTTAACGGTCATAAGGGGCCTTGGACCAGAGGACATTTCGTGTTCAGCATGATTTAACCTATCTAATCCCAGATTTTCACATTTCACTGTAGACAAGATTTCAATGGAAATGGAGCGGGCTCCTTTCTGATAGATGAATGTAATGAAATTGAGACCAAAATAATGGGAAAATAGTACTGTACTGCATACAAAATTTCCGATATATATCGAATCATTCTGTATATTCATGAAACATAATAATATATTATACAGTGTGTCCCACTTATCATGCTCACCATGGGTATCTTTATAACGGTGAGAGATACGAGGTCGGTTAAATGACACCAAATGTGGAGTTTGTCAAGGCCAACTATAATGTGAAAAAATGTTTTGATAAAATCTATTCGTTTTCGTTTTATGCGCAAAAAACAGATTTTGGTCATTTTCATGTCTCCTCCGTAACTTCTTTATTAATGAAAATATTCAAATAGGAATTTCACATTCTCATGGCAGTTTTTCAAAGTGATTTCGAAAAAAATATGAAATTTATACCAACTCTTCTAGAATTTGAGATATCAGCACCAACTTTAGTTTTTCAAATGTAGGTCATAGCTCACTATGACTTAGTTACAAATAACTTTTTTTTCTCTTTCAGATGATGTGTCGCAGTAATAGTTTTGTGTTGATAACAACGGAGTTATCGTCATTTATACAAAAACGAAAAATTATTTGGAAGCCGCCATCTTCAATTTATAAATTTTAACAAAAAAATCTTGATCTCCGACCTCAAAAACCCCCACTTACCAATTTTGAATGGAATCGGGCCAAATCTTGTCCGCCATCTTGGAGCAGCCATTTTTTTAATTTCAACAAAAATTCCATAATGTATTGTCACCGAAATTATGAACACCTGCCAAATTTCAAGTTAATCGGAGTTATGGAATTTTTGTTGAAATTAAAAAAAAATGGCTGATCCAAGATGGCGGACAAGATTTGGTCCGATTCCATTCAAAATTGGTAAGTGGGGGTTTTTGAGGTCGGAAATCATGATTTTTTTGTTAAAATTTATAAATTCAAGATGACGGCTTCCAAATAATTTTTTGTTTTTGTATAAATGACGATAACTCCGTTGTTATCAGCACAAAACTATTACTGTGACATATCATCTGAAAGAGAAAAAAAAGTTATTTGTAACTAAGTCATAGTGAGCTATGAACTACATTTGAAAAACCAAAGTTGGTGCTGATATCTCAAATTCTAGAAGAGTTGATATAAATTCCATATTCTTTTCGAAATCGCTTTGAAAAACTGCCATGAGAATGTGAAATTCCTATTTGATTATTTTCATAAATAAAGAAGTTACGGAGGAGATATGAAAATGATCAGAATCTGTTTTTTGCGTATAAAACAAAAAGGAATAGATTTTATCAAAATATTTTTTCACATTATAGTTGGCCTTGACAAACTCCACATTTGGTGTCATTTAACCGACTTCGTATCTCTCACCGTTAAAAAGATACCCATGGTGAGCATGGTAAGTGGGACACACTGTATATCAATAAGTGCGCATTCTTAGGACACGGGGCCCTTCATTTTCAATGAAACCCGTTCATTCTCAACCACCCTTTTTACCAATATATATGAGAGAGATTATGATGATATTATGATGATAGACATTGGCATCTATTTTTAATAAAGCTGTTTCACCTCATTAACTTCTAAAGAAGATGACAGAAGATGAACTTTTATAAGTCCAAAACATATTCCCTTCATTGATTTACATCAGTAATAAGGTAGTGGAGATGACTTTGGGCTTTCCTTCTTCCTTTTGTATATCAAAAATGTTCATTGATTCATGGAATAGAAGTACTCTTCATCTGAAAGAAGTACTAAACTTGGCTGAACAATATATGCAAAATTGCTGATCAAACTATTGATTACTTTTCAATACATAGTTTTGATTTGAATATACAGAAGATCTGAAATCTGATATGTTTGCCCAAAAGACACTTATAAATCCACTAGAGTTGTTAATTTTCAATGTTTTTAATATTAATGAGGGAAAGATAAAATATGATGAAAGATGACAGAGAACAACACAAATATCAACTTACTGGCTCCTCCAAAAGAAGACAAGCTAGAAAAATGATTGGCACATTAGAAAAAATCAATACATTGTGTTAAGATTTTCATTATACATATTTTGTCATGGGGCAATATTCTCAATTTGAAACAATACAGGGTGATTCAATAAGAATGGGAAATCTCTGAACTACAGATAGTAAACACTGAAATATTGGGGTATTGGGTAATTCACATCATTTATCTTACTTGTGGAACTGAAATAAAAAAATCAAAGCCTGTTCAATTTTACATAAAAAATGTACTCTTTTTCAACTTGTCCAGCTCTAATGGTTTATTTGTTATTCACTCTTGAAGAGATTTATGTTTCACTTATAACATATTAATAATTTTAAATTATGAAGTAAGCAAAGTGATAGTGGAAAAAATACAATGATCAATGATGATAATCACTAAGTGCCAACAACAAACAGGATTATAGTAAATGTTTGATCAAAGTTGAGGAAAAATTTTAAATAAAATTTTCCTTTGACCACCCTGTATCTGCAACATTTTTATAAAGCATGTTGGGTTAAATTTTCATGTTTTGGTGTTTAGTATATGTTTTTCAGAGATTTCCCATTCTTAATGAATCAAACTGTATAAAACTTATGTTTGCATGGTTTTCATTATTGTACTCAAAGGTAGTCTTAGAATCAGTGCTTTCAGACAAAAAATGAATAATTGATATAACTTTGGAGCTTGTGAAAGAAATTGGATATTTATACACTCATAAAACAATAAAAATGTTACTTACATTAGTACAAAATATCCCCAGTTGTTGTTTCGAATCACAGTGTAGCAGGGAAAATTGAAGAGAGGAATAATTAATAAATATGCCTAATTACAAATCAGTGAATAGGGTTATCACCATATTTTCCTCATTTTCGATATAGTTCTGAATACCTTTCAGGAATTTCATTCCTGTATATTCAGAGTTCTGCCAGATATGATTGAACTGATAATGGTATTGTAGAATAATTTGAATAATTTATTAGAGAAGTACACATACACTTGTTGTTGAATTCAATATGCTCCTGGATAAGTATTTAGATTGATAATTACATTCAACACAATAATTTTTACCCAGTATTCTCTAAGTAGTTTAATTTTTTTGACTGGAGTAGTATTTACTGTTTATACTAATACAAATAACTTTCTTTTTCCAGATAATGTTGTTGATAAACATCTTCAATGTTTCCAGGAGAGTTTTTATGAAGACAATGAAAGATCTAAAAAATGATCTCATGAAAAAACAGGAACAGTGTTGAAATTTGAGTGAAACATACTTATATAATAGGGATACTAGGTGGAGCAAAGAAATATAAGTATCAATTATTAAAAAAATACTATGAAATTTTGCATCATGAAATCAAAAACCACAAAAATATATAAGCCATATCTTTCAGATGGCAATATCAAGGCATTACGCAAATAATGATTTATTTAAACACATTCTTCCATTCTTCTAACCTAAGTTGCACATTGCCAATGAGATTAAGCATTTTTCATTTCAGGGCTTTAAATTTGAGAGGGTGCGTAATGTACACTATGCATACTTTTCAAATATACACAGCAAACAAAAATCCTGGAAAAAATCACTAAACTAAACTTATTTAGTTCCAATTTTTGAATTGTCTCAGCAGTTACTTGATGGAAATCGATGGCAAATGTGAAAATTCACAAACAATAAGATTTTTGTGGGAATCTTATCTTTTGTGAAGTATTCACATTTATTCAGTTCCTCTATTGAATGATAATATAATAATTGAAGTTCTAGCTTCCTCCATAGTTTAGGAATATTGATATCATTGTTTTCATTTTCATCCACAACGAATACTGTAGTGAGTATTAAGAGAGTATATTAATAATGAAAACAGCAAAATATCATTATTTGTTCCTTTATTGAATATATTATATTTTCTGGACTACTAGGAAATAATTTTTTATTTATTTTGAGATATCTAAAATATTAAATGAAAAAATCATATACCTGTCTCCCCTGTAGTGACAACGGCAGGTGCACTTGGGGGTCCCCTTCCAATGTTATTCACGGCAATCACATACATTTCATACTCAGTGTAAGGACTCAAATTTCTCACAGAGTAGTACATTGTGATGATTCCACTGATCTCGCTGTAGGCTTGATTAGCATATTTTGGTTTGTACTGGATCACATAGTACTGCAGGTCTTCTGGGCCATTGTAGGACCATGTGAGTCTCACTGATGTAGCAGTGATTTCAGAGACTTTGACATTAGTAGGAGGTCCAGGAAGAGCTGAGAAAAAAATTCATTAATGGGAAATCCACATTTATGAAAAAAAGTCATTGATAGGACATCCACATCCACATTTAAAATACAATTGTTCCTTTCAATCTGGAGAACCTAACTATAAAACAAAGGAAGTACTCACAGGGTGCAACAGCTTGCACCTTTGAAACATTTTAATGCACCCATATTATGGTTATTATTTTTTCTGGTTTCTACATTTCATATTTGATTCAAAAACATGACACCTAACTCAAGTCTAACCAAGTATTATAACTTTGATTTGACTGAGATTTGGAAGAGTATAACCAAGACAAACAACACCTACTATAATGAATGCTTGTAGAAACACTGACTAGCAAAAATACACCATCCCACAATCTGAAACTATTTTTTGTACATTGGTGTCAGGTTCTGATAATATTTTCTTGCTTGGGATTGTAGAACATAGGATCACACTTTTGGGATCTCACCATGCTAATGATTTTTATTAAGAAATTAATTTTCATGAACAGGTGTATGAATATCCCTTCACTTTTAGGAAATCAGAATACCCAGTGTACCTATTGCAAACACTGGAAACAGAAATAACAAGTAAAATCAGAGCAATTGAATGAGCATTTGAAGTTATTTTTATTCATTTTCCTCTCTGAAATTATTAGAAATGTCTAATAATGTTGTGGGAAACTTTACTCTTGCTTCATCTTGCAAGCATCAAGTGTCTCTGTAAAAAATTACTCCTCTACTATTTGCAGAAATACAATGATTACAATAATACTTGTGTATATTTCAATTTAATGCATTGTATTAATATTATTGCACCACTCCCACGCTTGATCCAGCCACTGCCTTGTTGACTAGAAAAAAACTAGAGCATAGTGAACAAAAACAAGGCAGTGAGAATAATGAATACTGAAACACTATAATAGGTGTTAAGAAATTATATAAAAAACTCACTTATGCCAGAGATCAGCGGTAGAGATAACATGAGTAAAAATAACATCATATTGTTTTTGTTTTTGTTATGAATAGGTACTTCATGAAAGTTCGCCCACAATCAACCACACACACAATCTATGATGCAGTTTCTCATAATAGGAGAAATAATGCAGTATCCATTGAATCAGTCGTCTCTTCCTTCCACATGATTAACTTGTTTTTTTTTTCACACGATCAGAACTAACAGAACCACACAATGTTAAAGGGAAGAATTGCAATTTTCAATGCAACATGCAACAAACTGGAAAAAAGTCAAAGAAGTCGAAGTCAAGGATCAATCAAGTCACAGGGCTGAGGTCACAGCTCTCACAGCTCACAGCACACAGCAAATCGCTGTCAATCAACAAGTTCGAAAACAAAACAAACATGAACACAGTGTTGCCAACATGTGTGGTGAGTGAGAAGATAGCTAAATTCATGGTGGAAATATAATATGGTGTGCTACTCAGGTATCTCGCACCAAAATGATCACGGCGATTTCAATTCCGGTGAACTGATTACATGACTGTAAGCTCAGACTGCGAGCAATTGTTTTACTCGCATTGACGTAAACGCCGAAGATGCGTTTGTAGCACACCATACTACAATTATTCCACCATTATTAATATTATAACAAAGAAATTTATTTAAATTGAAAGGAAAGATGTTTCAGGCTCGAACAACTAAACGAGTGGATAAGAATACTTGTATAGTGTGAGCACCACATGATATAGTTTCACACTGGTCCATCGAGTATTATCTTTCGACGCGGACGAAATATTCACGGAAATATTGACGCTCTGCCACTAACTTATTTCAGTTTGAATCGTGGCACGTTTGGATATTCGCAAAAGGGACATCATCCCCTCTTATTTGCATTCTGTTTCCAGCCGTTATCACATGACCGAAATATGTTCTGGAATAATAGGAGCAAATAAATCGCTGTGCCGTGGATTTGGCTCACACTGAGGGCACAAGTAGGTTTTTGAGATCTACCATTCAATTAAATCGGATGGCATAATTCTCATCTCGTTATCAAATCGCACAGGTATAAGTGCAATGTTTCATTCTGTTCTGTATTTAATTTCCTTTGGGACATACCTTTTATATAGGTACCATATAGCCTATACATCATTTTATTGTTATCAGATGACTGTAGAAATCTGCAGCCGGCTCTTATTCTATACTATTATATGAAAGTAGATTCCTAGAATCTCCTGAGATATACAGGATATGTTTCGTAATATGTGAGGCGTACTTTTTGAGAGGCGGGTGATAGGGCGTCTCAAAAAAATGAAAAAAGTTTCCATTAACAAAAGTCGTAGAACGTCGTAGAAGGCCTCGTTAGCGAGATACAAAATATTGTATGATTATTCTTGAAACATTCTATGAGAATATGCTAAACTATATAAGTATATTTGAACGTAGTCAGAATATGTTCGTAGAATATTCTGTGCTGTCTGGGATTAACTTTCGAGCTATTGGATATCAAAATTTTGAGAAAAACATCGCTTTCTTATTAGGTACATAATAATAAGATATTTTCATCAAACTTGACATGCACCTATACCATCAATAGGCATTTCCTGATCCAGGAGATTCTTCAATATTTTATACCAGTGGTGTTCGTATGGAATGTTTATTCGAGAGATTTTTCGGAGAAAATATGGCACTCCCTTGCTTTTTCCAAAAATTGAAATCATTTTCGAAATCATTTTATCTTGCAAATATTTGACTTTTTCAATATTTTTCGTCCGACGCACCGTTTTCGCGAAAAAACATGAAAACCATTTTGAACTAATTCAATCAATTGACTATTTATTCGAATAAAACCCATCCTAATTTTAAATTACTATAAATTATGGTGCTTTATAGAAGGTGCATGTCAAATTTCATGAAGATATATCTAGAACTGTATTGAGGGATATGATGATAAGAAAACGAATTATTTTTCTTGAATTTCCAACACCCTCTATAGCTCGTGTGAATTGATTTTGTTCCAATAACCAAATGAAAATAACAAAGATTTTTTCATGGGACTTCACAGTTTTTCACGAAAATAATTGAACAAATTGGCAACTGTAGAATTGAATACAGAAAACAAAAAACAGTGGTGTATCAATTTTGATATGATATGGTGCAGTCGAAAGTGCAATATTGAAAATAGGGTGTCTCATTTGAAAAAAAAAATAGCTATGAAAATAATTTTAGGTGATAGTTTTCATTCAAATTTTATCTATCTATTCGACGGTTTGGCTAATATCGGAGTAAAACACACTATATTAATTGACTCCACCCGATGATATACGTGATTGCAATTATTATGTGTCTCTTGGTTTATAGAAGTTCAGATTCAATTGATAGCTAGAAGAAATTGACAATGGCAGGATGCAATTTTTGAGTAGCTACATCGTAGCAAGACCGTAGCTAGATCATTGCTAGCTAGGCCAAGCTAGACGAAGCTAGACGGGTTACAAAATGTCTAGAGCCAGCTACAAAATTCCCGAGTTGGCAACATTGCATGAATCATGGACGATGGTAACGCATAGAGAAACAACAAGTCAAATATCAGTTGTCAATCACGGAACAATAGTTTTTGAGTACTACGCACCATGGAACTTGAAAGTTTTGTGCATATGGAAGCTCTGAATTAGAGTATACACTGGAATAAATAAATTCATGTGTACAGTGTGTCCAGTTTTCGATGCTTTTGTGTGATATCTCAGTTATCTTTCGAGATAGAACCTTGCGGTTTTCGCGGTCCTGTACCACTTTTCTGTGAAACTCAAGATGGCCTAATCAGATTTCGCATAACTGTTTGCGTTTATGAGATACAGGGCGATTTTGAAAATTTATACTTTCTGCGAAAATGTCAAATTGAAATCTTATCCCATACAGAATTTTGCGCAGAATTCAGTGGCGCACTCAATTTTTTTTTCTGGGTATGATTTTTCAAATGGAACACCCGCCTGTATTTTATAAGCTCATTAAATTCCTTATTTTTTCCCTATCAAAATGAAATATGATGAATATGTATGAAATATCCAAAAATACTCCAAAATCACTAAAACATTGAATTTTAATAGTGGGCTATGGATTTTTCATTTAAAAAAAGTTCCAATTGAAGAATATTTCAATTGATTCTTCCATGAAAATGACAAAAACAATCCCAACACTAGTTAATTAAGATAACACAAAAATTAGGTACCTGATAGCAACAAATGAATGGTAATAAAAAGTTCATATTCTAGAATAAGCACCTGATTTAATATTCACTAAGACAATTGAATTTCGAAATTAATCAGTAATTCATTCATTGAATTGTTCAAATTGATATTCAATTTCCCTCACATGCTTTCTCAATACGTCTTAATGCATTCAAAATCATTAAAGGATGTCTTTGTAATTCCTGGAAAACTGCCTCTGTTGTTGCACGAAGTTCTTCAAGATATTTGTGACTCTTACGTATCAAGACGTATTGAGAAAATGTGTCAATTGTGTGTTATGGAAAATGGACATCAATTCGAACAATTCAGTGAATAAGTTATTGAATAATTCCGAAATTCAATTGTATTTGTAAATATTCAATCTGGTGCATATTCTACATTATGAAATTTTTATTACTATTTATTTGTTGCTATCAGGTACATAATTTTTGTGTTTTCTTAGCTAATTATTGTTGGTATTGTTTTTGTCCTCTTTATGGAAAAATCAAAATGAATATTTCTTCAATTGAAACTTTTTTATAAGAAAAATCCATAGCCCACAATTAAAATTCAATAATTATTCATTTTAAAGAGAAAAAAATAAGGAATTTTATGAGCTTATAAAATACAGGGTGTTCCATTTAAAAAAACATAAGTTCGAGTCGTATCTCCAAAACCTTACCCCGAAAAAAAATTTTGAGTGCGCCACTGGATTCTGCGTAAACTCTCATATGGGATGAGATTTAAATTTGACATTTTTGCTGAGAAACTTCGTAGATATAGAGGGGGTCCAAAAAGTATAAATTTTCAAAATCGCCCTGTATC